ACTATGTTAAAAGAATTGATCTAAATAACAGAAAATAAATTTAAAGGTGAAAAGGTGACTTACGTCATCCTGCCTCAACACTCGCAAAAATACCCTTAACCTTTTATTTTTCTTGACAAATTTATTTGTTCTTTTGAATACCTTTTTAAAACTATTTCCCTTTATAGTTTTATGAGAATATAAGCGACACTTCTCGTCTATTCATGGTTTTTTAAAAACTTAAATATGAGTAGTATTTGATTTAAATTATTATTTATATATTTATTCCTTTTTATTTTTTAAATTTTCTCTTAAAGACTTATTATAAGAAAAATTTTAAATCATGTAACACATTTGCTATTAAAAAAAGGATCTTTGTACTATATTCAATGTTTTGTTTATATAAAATATAATTATGGTGGTAAGGTTATATTAGCTATTTATTTTAGGAAGACTGTTTATTTTTATTGCGGTAACATAAGATTGCTTTATCTGTTTTATAAGCAACAAGTGTTTATGGTTTAAACAATTCTTAGACTGCGAGACTGACAATTAAATGACGTTGCGTTAGTTAGATTCGTAAAGTTAGTCCAATGTATTCTGCACACAGCGACCATGAAAGCTTTCAGCTTATCTTTTCAGTGGGTGACTGTAACCATTCATACTCTAACCATATTTCAATAAACCATTTATGAAAGCTTTAATTTGCATGTGTTAAGCCAAGTTTCTGTTAAATTATTATGAGACAACGCCCAAATGATCGTCGTATTATGGATGGTTTAAAAATGATTGATTATCCAATTTTCGAAAGACAAATTGATTTTTGTAATCATGTTTTGCAATATGCTTGTCATACGTAATTTTTTTACTGAATTCGTACTTAGTAATCTTGTCTTTAGACTGATACGGGCTCTAGTAATCCCTATTTACCTGTATCGAGTAGAAACGTAGACTATCTTGGCTCGGGAAAGCAAAGGATCGATGCCTTTGAGATGTGGTGCTGCAGGCGAATGATAATAATATCGTGGACTGCGAAGCGCACTAATACTCCGATCCTGACCCTACTCCGCATATGGACTCGCATGTCTAACATGCCGACAGCGAATTATATCATATTTCGGCCATACAGGAGAAACTGATCGTGGTTGGTAACACAGAGGGCCAAAGATGACGTGGGCTTTCACCAACCAAATGGACCGATCAAGTGAAAGACTCATCGTCCTTAAAACTATACAGTGTTATAAGAGAGCTGGACAGAAACCGGTGGAAACAGATTGCTACCGACTGAAGAGAACAGAGAATCTGAAGTATTTCCGAACCAATTCGACTTAGGGTTCTTCAGGAATAGAGAGTACCAATTCTTAAAAGGTCGGCAGCGCGCTTGCGAGCCTTCTGACAGTGCGAGTGTCCATGGGCGGCGGTATTACTTAACATCAGGCTCACCGGCCCGTTTGCCTCCTGTAACATAAAAAAAATAATCTAACCTTATAAACTCAAACTATTTAGATGGGTTTTTTTATAGATATATTTATATTTTAGTCTGTTTTTTAATACTTTCAAGCAAAATGACGATAACACCATTTGTAAATGTGTTTTATAGCCTACCAGATAAGGTCCGTTTCTTAATGGTCAGCACGCGTAGTACGGTCTTGCGGTTCTAATACAAACTATAGAAAACATATAGACGAATTTTCTTTTGAATTCAAGTATTCCTGCTAAACGAATATTTCCAAGAGTAGATCCTTAGGTAGAAATGCCTGGTGAACCCCGAGGGCCCATCTTAAGGGTGTGTGAAGGGCTGAGGTGTTTTTAGTGGGTGGGGTCTCGCTACCCCTCTGAATAGTAGAGGGATTTGAATGTAGACCCAGCCAGACAGTCCTCGCGTCAAGTTCGACATGCTCGGCGCGGGCCTGCGTAAGCGCATTTTCACCTCATTTAAAAAAAAAAGTGGCTTCAGCGTGCGACTCTTATCCCTGAGGTCGTAGGTTCGATCCCCGGCTGTGCACCAATGGACTTTCTTTATATGTGCGTATTTAACATTCGCTCGAACGGTGAAGGAAATCATCATGAGGAAACCGACATGTCTTAGATCCAAAAGGCGACGGGGTGTGTCAGGCACAGGAGTCTGGTCACCTACTTGCCTATTAGATTGAAAAATGATCATGAAACAGATTCAGAAATCTGAGACCTAGACCTAAAGATGGCAGCGCCACTGATTTATTTATGCTTTAGTAGTCCATAAGTCCGGAACATACATCCTTTTTTTATAAAGTAATCATCAAAAAACGTTCAATACGCGAAGGATTTTCATTTGGCACATGCCGCCAAAATTTATGGTCAGAAACAAACATAAATGCGATTCGACGGTCGTCGAACCTAAAACCTTCGTCATGCACATTTTTGGTCATTTTAATAAGTTTATTAGCTTCTCGTAGGTGTCATTGAACTTAACAATTCCTTTGCTAGAATTATAGAGTAATTGGTAATTAATTAACTACAATTGCTTTCCCTAATTCTAAAACAAATAAAACTTAAATGTAGTTTCAGGAGCTATCTGTTTCTGTATGCACTTTGACATATTTGACCGAGCTTATGACGATATTGTGACTGTGGTTTAATTTCGACTTCGAAATAATCAACTGAGGGTCCTTCAAGAAAAAGGGTCCTTCAAGAAAAGAGCGTACCAATCCTTAAAAAGCCGGCAACAGTCTAGCGAGCCTTCAGGCATTTAGAGTATGGGCATATCAAACAGCCCGTTTACCCCCTGTTCTATAAAAGAATTGGTACATATAATATGGCACAACGTCTGTCCGTATTTTTAAATCTAACTTTGCAATGAAATTATTTAAAGAGCTTAGAACAAATTTTGGTACAAACTACAAAATATATAATTATTTATTGTATAATATAAGAGTATACCGCATACAATCTGCGCTTACAAATCACTGCGATATCGTCATACCCTATTCCGGCCGCCAAGGAGATATACAATTTTCGACCGTAGCCACTGGGGCCTTGGGGTCTGTGGTAAGACTGGCCCGTACTAAAAAGTACTAGTTCTTCCTCCACAAGTGAAACAGTCCCACAGTTCTTGGGTTAAATTTGCCTCAAGAAAGAAGAGACAATCGTACTTCATAGATTTTGTTATGGCGACGAAAGTTCTAAAAAGCTCTTAATAATAATAATTTATTTATTGCAAGAATATGGTACAAAAATGTTAAGGTGGTACAATCGCAAGTTCGCATATTGTGCCACACACAATGGCGCGCAAATTTGTCTTAAGGAATTTTACATTATTAGTCAAAGTCAATTCTTATATTATCTGTATCGTACATATCATACTTTATTAAATTTATATCAATTACAGTGTCTCATGCAATTAACCATTTACTGAATAATAAATTTTTTCCAAAAGTAATACACTAAGTCGCTTTTTAAAGACTCTAGTCAGAAGATCTTTATTTTGGTAATTTATTGTAAACTTTAATTGCCAAAAGGTGTTTTTCCGAAACAGTTCCAGATTGATTTTTGGCACAGCCAATTTCTCCCCATGCATACTTCTTACTTCGACTTAAAAATATGACGTATGTTTCTGTGCACGAATAAGGATATTTCTAAAATAATCTTCTAATGCAGTATTTATTTTAACTTTCTTTAATTGCTGTGTATGTTTACAGTAACTAAAATTACTATTATGTTCATCGATATTGAACATTATAAATGTCCGTTATAATAAATAAAAATCTGTTTATACAAAAACTCTCAAGTCAGTGTTTGCAGATTTCAATAACACCTTTAAACCCCGAACTTTAAGCACGATTATTTTAATTTTTGGAGAATATTATATGCAAATTAGTTGCCCCCTAGAACTTCGTTTTGCCTGTATTCATATACAAAAAATCAAATAAAAACATATTCTTACTTACTCTACCTTTTTAGTAGCTACATACCAACATGTGGAACATTCTGTTATGCTACCCCATAGATATTGTTCGCTATTCCGGAATAAAAACCTAAGTACTAACTAGAACTGAATTTTTCATTTTTTTTTAAATGTGAGAAACATTCAATCATCAACAAAAACCGTCTTCAGAGTCCTATAAAAAAAAAGAAGTGGTCCAGCCATTTTCGAGTTTTCCGCTTAGCAACATATTGTATTTTTACACGCTTTATATTAGCTTCACCTGTATGTATGTATGTATGTGTGTATGTATGTAGCCGACTCCTTCGGACTCGATTTTGACCCACTTTAAACGGACAGATTTTATTCAAATTTTGCGCACCTGTCAATAATCCGAAAAAAAAAAAAAAAAATTTAACTAAAAAATAAAAAAATTGTTTAAAAAAACTAAAAAACACGCTTTAAAAGCACATAAAACTAAAAAGTGAAAAATAATTCCTAATTTAGGCTGAAAATGGTAATGAACAAAATATACTGGTACTATTGTGAAAAAGCGTGGGGCGCTCTGTGCCATATTTTTCGTCTATAGAGCAACCATATTATTATCCTTAATTTGCACCCTTCTCCCACTAACCGCCATTTTTTCTTCGTTTTCATTTCTTCTAATGAAATAAATATGAACAATACTTTCACACAAACAGTTCGTACGTATTCCGACATTTTTAAGAGAGGTTGTTTATGTATTCAATGTTATAATTACGGTGAATTGTCATAAAATGAATTAACAGCTGGATTTCAGGAATAACATCTTATCTTACGGTTCACCGTTATAAAATGTTACTTACTGACACTTAATATAACTGTTCCGCATCCTTGGAATGTCTAAGTCCGATCCATAAAATGTTATGGCTGTAACAGCTTTAAAGCTTTGTTTGTAACATTATATTCTCTATGGATATGCTATTGATATGCAAAAACGTAAGCGCTAATGGAGGTAATTATTTTAATTTAATACCGTACTAATAAAGTTGCAGAGGCGCTAGAATAAAGAAACTAAGCGAAAATTTGTCAGATGTGTAAATATCTGACGCATCTGATTGTCAATCTTGTTTCAGTAAACATGGCGTTGTTCTGGTGTATAATAGCCGGTCTCCTGGCGGCGGTGCAGGCGCAGTCGAACTATGGATCGCAGGCCAACAACGTTGAATACCAGGGAGATGGTCTGCCCGAACAGACTGTACTTGATGGCAAGGTAAATATCAGTTCTTTTATTTATGGTGACGCTCATCGCTGAAACACGATAAAACCCGATGGTGAAGCACTTACTGTACAGGGGTATGTGGGGGTGTCCCAAAGGTAGTAATTACACGATTACAATATTTTCCAGGTATAGTTTAGCTAAAATGTGGATACGGGAAAATAAGTATTTAAAAATCATCTTTTGTTGTTTAAGCTATATAAATACTCCTCCCTCAGGACCGGCGCACCCACTAAAAATTGGGTGTCTATGGGCTGCGATGACAGCCCTTTCTGGGCGCCCCTTAGGCTCGTTTGCCCCCCCTATACTATAAAAAAAACTATTTAGGGCTTCTCTTTAGATACACCAAAGAGAATTTTAAATTATCTTTACAACTTATAGTATAAAGTCACTTTTTGTCCGTATGAGATTTGTAAACTAAACAGTTTTAACAATATTCATTCAACAGTGATTCAAAAGAAACTTTTATATAATACTAGCTGACCTGGCAAACGTTGTTTTGCCATTTATATTATTTCTAGGAAACATTTTATTAGTTCAATAAAAATAACTATCTACTATACTAAAAAATATGGGTTGATCGTAGAGGGGTGAAAATTAGGGGTTGAATGTATTTTTTAATGCTATCTTTTATCTAAAAATTAAAAAAATAATAATTTAGGGGTGGACTACCCTTAACATTTAGGGGGATGAAAAATAGATGTTGTCCGATTCTCAGACATACCCAATATGCACAAAATTTCATGAGAATCGGTCAAGCCGTTTCGGAGGAGTTTAACTACAAACACCACGACACGAGAATTTTATATATTAGATTATCTAATTAGTGTAAAACAACATAGCGTCCCGACGTTCCTGGCTGATAGAATTTACCATTTAGATAATTTTACTTCTCAAAAAAACTACTTTAATAATCAAGGTAATAGTTTTAATTAAGTTATGTCGAACTTATAGATCTGCGTACAAACATCCAAAGACTTGGTTTACTAAAACAACTTGTCTAAAGAGAATAAAGTCCATTCAATGTGTTATCAGATCGCATATAGAAATTATTCAGTATGTCTTAACGACTGCGATACATTGTCTCGACAATCACAACGCACAAACGGACCGCGCGACCACGAATAAAATACGTATTTGCTTTGGTTCCATTGACATACGATATATCGTAGTTGCTTATTTTATTAGCTGTCTAATTTTTTATGCGGTTTTGAAGTGAAACTTCTTTAGGCGCATGAGGGTAAAATTTTTACGTATACGTCACGAAGATGTGCAGCGTTTTTGTCGAAGAAAAGGGAGAGAGCGATTGAGACCAAGTGAGAAGGGTGATACTTTATAGAAATTCTATTTTTAAAATTAAAATTTCGTAAAGAGAATTTATGAAATATTAGTATTTTATGCAAATAAATTTATTGAAATCTCAAATGACGAATTGTAAATTAAAATGCCACGTGTTTTATTATCGAAGAAATAAATTAAAAAACAAAAAAAATGGAATAAATTTTCGACACTTTTAATATTTTAATGACAATTAAATTCATTAAATTCCTAACATAATATCTTCCTTTTTCCCTCCCTCTATGTGTCGGAAATTTTTAGATTTGTATAAATATGAACAAGACTTAAAAATTAGTTTGTCAAAGAAGTTTCACTTCTGACATGTGTACTCTAACGCACGCACTTTTTTCTTAACGGTTGTGAAGAGATTGCCGCTGTTCCTTGTGATTTTAATTGGTTATGCACTTCTTGCACTTTAGCCTTATTTTTTTTGTAGTTGTTTTCCTTACTTGGGTTGCCTGGAAAGAGATCGCTTGTGAGGTAAGCTCGCCCGTTGCATCCCTAATAATTTGTTATTTTCTATTTGAATGTAAAGTTTTAAATAAATAAACAAGCCCGCTCGTTGCTCCATGTTTTTTTCAGTGTATTGTGTATTTAATTATTGTGTAAATAAATACAAACATGCAGTTGTATGTAAAGACGTAAGTTGTTATTTTTGTGTCGGATGATGTTTGGTTATCAATTAAAATAGATTTTTAGAAAAATAAAATTATGTTAATAGTGAATTCTATCAGCCAAGATAACGTTAGAAGTTTTAAGCGATTGAACGTCGGGACGCCATTTTGTTTAACTCAAATTAGATAATGTTATATATCTATGTATATAAAATATTTCTTTTGAATCACTGTCTTTTAATGAATCACTTTAAAACAGTATTAAGTTTATATGTCTCATACAGACGGCACTTTATTCTATAGTTTGTAAAAATATATATATTAATAGACAAAAATATAATAAAAAAATCTAAAGAAAACTGAAATTTTGCATTTAAAACAACAAATAATACTAAATATTACAAAAAAAACCAGAGTGACTGCTTAAACAAAATCAAAGTCGTTTCATCAATCATTCTGTTTCGATTTTATTATTAAAATAATAACAATTTTCTACCCGTTGGTTAATGGAAATCTACCCCAATAGATAACCGCGGGCAAATAATTAGCCGGGCTGGATTTATCGAGACAGTCCGACAGCCCGCTAAATATAGTGCTGCACCTATACTCTCAACGCAATTATAACTCTAGGTACATCACTAGTTTATTGAAGGCGGCTACATCGTCGATCCTTTAGCAATAAAATGCATTACATCACTAGCTGTATTTATTGCTTTAAGTTAAAGTTATGTCTACATCGGTGGCTTTGTGTAAAATTATATATGGGGTTTATTGTCCCCATTAATGTATAACAAGGGGATCCTGTCATCACATTTGCCCCTTCCTTTCCCAAGGACACGTTTTAGCTTATGATCTGTTCGGACTAATACCTGCAGCTGAGTTTTATCATCGGACGGATTCGGATTTCAAAGCAGAATACAACGGCGGCGGTGTGACTTAACATCAGATGAGCCTCCTGCCCGTTTGCTTCCTGTTATATAAAAAAAATATCCGAATTCGTTCCCGGCTATATAATTTTAGAGTTTTTAATGCGTTTGTTAATGAATGGCACATCAGACAAAGGATATCAAATTTTTATTTCATAATTGTATTAATATAAGAGAGAAGTTAAGCATCCCTGAGATTTGCACCCATTTAACATCAGAAAGGAACATCCTGAGAAAACCGGCATGCTTTACAAAAAGTTGACGCCGTGTGTCAGGCACAGAAAGCTAGCTAAGGTTTGCAGAGCCACTGTTTTTTTTGTATTAGTGTAGACAAGCCTTCGCAGTAAGGAAATAAATAACTTATTGGTAACACGGTGTAAAATCGCAATTTTATGTACCAGCGAAGCAGTAAGTGAGCGAGTTATGAGCGAGTTACGGTTCTTCATTAAATGACAGTGTGTCTTATGATTTTTTTTATTTCAGGTGACGAAACTGGATGATCTCAGTCCAGTTATATTCCTAAATCGAACGAGGGCGGCGTTAAACTGTGCAGCTGGTTCTATGCAGGTCAGTTTCAGAAGTGAACATTCAACCCAGTACTATAAATTATCTCGTATGGTAAAACTAAAAGGCATGTGTTAGAAACAAAATCATTTCAAAATCAAAAGATTTTATTATCACAGAATACTGATTACCAACTTGTCTATATCAATGTAACCGACGCAAAAATGTCTGCCTTATTCTGGAAAGAAAGAAGATTCAAATGCACGTAATCGTTTAGCGTAATCTGAATGGAGTCGTAAAGGAATGTAAAACATAATAACATTATTAAATCGTCGTCAGATAATATGAGACTTTTGTAAAAAACTCTATTAGTAAAAAATAATTTGGAAACTAATATTAAATTTACTTTCATTTATGTTAAAAAATATGTAGTTAAGTCTGACAATATATTTAGTCATATATCTTAATTAGCGCCTAAACTATTACTTCATGAGTATTTGCTAATTATTTCTGGCAGGCGCCAATAATTTTAAATTTACTGTAGTGGTAGGTTGTTTTGTTTTGAATTTGTGATATACTGCGTGTCTCGGACTGCTTATTTCTCACATTTCTCGTGAACTTTCTTAAAGATTAATGTTAACTTTTAACTTCTACTGCTAAGTCGACAAGGTAGCTTTAGGTGTTTCATACAGTGATGCGTCTCTCTTAAGTTTCTCTTTGATTTGACAAATTTTCACTGTGAAAAAGTAATTCTTCTCTATCTGTATTGAAATATTATTTTTAATGTCATTCCAGATTGAACTGAAGTTTAATGAGAAATTCTACGGAATTGCATACGCAGATTTCGACAGAAACTCCGCTTGCCAGGTTGCTGGTAAAGGTGCTACTTCCTACAAACTTGACCTTCCATTAAAAGGATGTGGGACTAAACAGGTAATATATTTAAATAGTTATAAATGATTAAGAATTTCATTAAATATTTATATAGGAAATTTAGCACTACTTAGGAAAGAAAGTAAGTTACCACGTTTACAATATAAATAATAATATTAAAAGTCCGTTTAATTTCCAGTCATTACAAAATCTTAGATTTGTTATTTAGATTTTTTTTCTTGTTATCCAAATATCCTATCTTCCTTCAGTATCGTTGATAGGAACCCCTTCACGGGTAAAGGCCTCTAACCTTTTCCAATTATCTCTCTCCACGACTTTTTTTCTCCATTCGCTTCCTGCTTACGCTTCTATTTCTTCTATAATCCTTTTTTTGGGGCGCCCTCTTCTCCTTCTTTTAGGACCTAGTCCTTTCCATATAGATGGTCCACCTTTTATCTGAGCATCTTGCTATTTGCCCCGCATTGCCACTTCTGTTTTAGGGCATAATGTTATTTTATGTATTGTTTAATTACAATATAAACTTTTATAAATTAAGTTCTTAATATCTGGCGTAAATAAAAGAGATTACAAAGATGTTAAAAGTTATAATATTTCTACTTCTTCTAAGTCTGTAATGAAATAATATACATTTAACAAATGTCAATTTCATTTAGCGGAAACTAAATATGGGTAACAAAAAGTAAACTTCAAAAATCATTTTTGGCAGGATCCATTGCGTGTTTTCACGAACAACATAGTGGTTCGCTTCCATCCAGGCTTGGAAATGGACGGCGATGAAGTTATAACAATCGTATGCAGATATCCGCCACCCATCGTGCCTGTTGCTAAGCCTTTTATTGCAACGTAAGTAATAAATAATTATCAACTCATTAAAACGCTACTTAGAAGTGATTAATGCCGTCATCTAATCTGAACTCTATGTTGCAGGCCAGAAGCAGCAGGTCCATTACCAGCCAAGGCACCGTTAGCAGGCACTCATATACTTATGATCATCTGCGCTATTCTCTTCTTGACACTTCTTTTACTGGGTCTCGGCGTCTCCTACTTATGTCTGCGTAGGAGAGCTCTCCCCGTGCCAAGAAGACTTATTGATGACTCTTCAGCTTCCATCATTAGTAGAGAGAGTATTCAAGGTGAGTTAAGTTATTATACTAGGCACTTATTCATAAAACGCTTATTGTGTGTTTATGTCGCAGCCAACTAGTTTAATCAGCCGTTCAATTAACAGCCTAGCCTTTTAACTAAACGGCGCCGTTTCACTAGCGGCCTGAAAGATGTTCTTTTTGAAGATGAATATTTTTTATAGATTTTTTCCTTTCGTAAATGTTTAGACCTTTTTGAATATATTATGTATTCCATCTTTGGCTAAACTTTTAGTATATTTATTTTTTGTTATGTATCTTTTATGTGAGCTGTAGGATTAGGAAATAAATTTTGGTAAAAAGTATCGTAATATTAAAAACTTATATTTTTGTGTCAACAGAAGTAAAGATACCCCGAGCTCACCCAGTTTACCCGGTGGCTGCCGAAAGCGCCAGTGTAGCATCAGATACCATTCCTTCAGACTATCCATCGGAGACTCCAAGTGAAGCTGAGCATGCGCACGTAAACCCAAGCTTCTTGGTTGACGAGTACCAAAGTGAAGGTAAATGGTTTTATACTATAAATATCAGCCCTCTTCTGTCTTCTTCTTCCAGTCTTTGTTATCTTACATTGTATAGAATGATGTGGGTTCGATTTCGAAGAAACAGTCACTGTTTATATGCTATAAATCATAATCTCCTGATTCAACATGCTGCATGCTGCGAGTCAACATACAAATTGGTCTCAACTTGACATTCCATGAACTTTTTAACGAACATATAATCGTCGTATCTATACGAGAAAATCTGTTCCAATGTGATAAAAAACGTAGTGTTTATTATAAAATATCTTGATAAGTACATATTATATCGTTTCGATTGGAAGTGACCATTAAAATGGACAAGAAAAATGCAATTCGAAGAGGAAAACGTCCCTCTAAAATGCTCGAACAAAATTATTACGCCAAAGAAGTATAACTTCTAACGCGTTTACATAATTACACACACGTTTTTTTATATACCAGGCTACAATGAGTCGCAAGAGACGACACACACACACTCTCGTATCGCTGGCGCGCCACCCGCCTTTGACGTTCGCGTGAGAGTTCAACGACCTCCAGCTCCACCATCGCCACAATCTACCATCACTACTACAGAAGTGGATGGCGGAAGTATGAGGTAAAGTTTAAATTATTGATAACTTTTCATTGAATAAATTACTTATTTAAAAACATGTGTTATGAAATTGTGTTTTGCGAAACCATGCGTTTTTATACACACGAACTGACGATGAAGACTATATCTAGCTCTGTATGTCTGTCTTATTCAATTATCTGATCTTTATGTCAAAAATATTCTTATTACCAGTGATGTATTGGTAAAATAAGAAGTAAGGGAACGCCTACTGGGAGCAAAAACTATCCTATTTTCATCAAATTATTTTTTTCCATGGGAGTTTTTAATTTTTTCTTATTATTACTATACAAAATATTAACATACACAAAAAAATTAATTCAAAAAAAGATGAAAATCAGAAAGATATTATTATTTTGTAGTACACTGGTGTACTACAAAATTTCTACTGAAAAAGTACTGGAATCGTCGTTTCACCGCGTTCCCCTCCCAATACACCACTGTTTATTACACCACCAGGCAAACGTTAATAGAGGAGCATGAGCGTCAAGAATCAGTTCGTACGATGTCACCTGGTGCATTGCCGTTACCAGCGCGAGCTGCGCATGTGCAGCCTCCCGAACGACCTCCCAGACCACCTGTACTGTACACTGAGGTTCAGAGAGATCGACAGGTTAGTTCATATGATAGTAAATCAAAGATAACATAGAAAGTTCAATTTTAAGGAAATTAATGTTTAGTAGAAAGTTTTATAAGTCAATTACTTAAAATTAATGGCAGAGAATAAAGTTTTTAATGAATCTTGAAATATTTTGGAAAAGTTTTCACAGAAGACGTTTTTCAAATAGGCCATCAATATCTGATTTATAAAATTCTCGTGTCACAATGTTCGTTCCCATACTCCTCCGAAACGGCTTGACCGATTTAAATCAAATTTTATATGCATATTCAGTAGGTCTGAGAATCGGCTACTATCTATCTTTCAACCCCCTTAGTGATTGGTGTCCACCCCAAAAAAAAAATTATTCTTTTGAATTTTTTTTTGTTTTTATTTTTTATGATACAGCATACAAAAATACATATATCCCTAATTTTCACCCCTCTATGATCAACCCTTATTTTTTATTATAGTAGATAGTTGTATTTATTAAACTAAAAAAGTTTCCTAGAAATAATATAAATGGAAATACGACGTTTGCCGGGTCAGCTAGTAACGTATATAAATATAATTCTGACTAATTGGAGGACAATTTACTAAAGACTGCATGTCAAAAGCACAAAACATTTTTTGCACATCACAAATTTAACCTATACTGTTTCGTTAACAATCACCATATCAAGAGGTAGCAATAAAAAATACTTATGGTCCTTCAATCTTATATATACAGCATTAATATTCAAATGAACATTCGAAAGACAAATAAGATATGATCCTAATTCAAAGAGTATAAACATGATATATCTGTAAAAACCTATTAAGAAAGAAGATGGCGACACTTTAGAAACCCGCACCAGCCAAGTACAATACTCGACCAATAGGTATATCTTGCAATACATATAATAATCTACCATTTCATTTGTCACCCATCAATTTGTCACTAACCAGGAGTGGGCTCGCCGACCGCGGTCCATAATTTCACTCAACACAGAGATGACTGACACTCACTCTGTCACCGAAGTCACTGATGGTTCGCATGCCAGGATGTTCCATATTAAGGTAAGGCTAACCTTTCATCTTTGTGTCAGGCCTTGACTAATAAATTAATTACTAAATAAACTTACTATTAAAGTCGTATCTTAAAAGGTAAATATTTTTGAAGTGAAACTTCATTAGGCGCATGAGGGTAATTTTTTTACGGATGAAACGGAATAATAATAATATTAGCATGACAAAGATGTGCAGCGTTTTTGTCGAAGAAAAGGGAGAGAGCGATTGAGATCGATTGAGAGAAAGTGAGAAAGGGCGAACGTAGTATGCAACAAATAGCCATGGAGCGAGAGTAGGGAGCAAGCAAGTCAGAAAGATCGAGAGAGGAAGTGAGATAGGGCGAACGTCGCATCACGCACAGTGCCATGGAGCGAGAGGTGGGAGAGAGCTATAGTGAGAAATATTGAGTGAGAGAGTCAGGGATATCGATTATTGGTTGGTGTATTCTTTTATTAGATACATATAAGAACTTTAGATGGAAATTCTATCGCATAACGTCTTGGGCAGTAAACGCAGATTTTTTATTTATTAAAATAAAATATATTATAGGTCAATTCAATTATTCTTAGACTGTCTATCAAAAAGGGAACGAATATGGATTGTTATGCACTTCGAATCAAGGTATCTTTATAGTAAAACCAAATTAAAATGATATCCAGTAGAAGTTTGTTAAACGTCAATTCGGTATTGTAGAAACCACCTCCACCGCCTCCAATGGTCCGGGAGCGTCTGGAGACGGAAGAACAAGAAATGCTGATGGAGAGCCTCGAACCTATGCCTGAAACTCCCATCATGGCTCCAAGGTAAGAATCTTGCCTCTTAAATTCAATTTTTGATTGCCGCTTACAGTGCTGTACATCTTCTGTATTTTGTAGTTCGCAAAGAAAAAACTTGGATACTTGTGAAAATGAGTAAATAGAATTTAAAAAAGTGTTTTCAATTTATTATTTTAATTAATAATAAAATTTATATCTATATAGATTCCTCAGGATTTTTCATTCCTAATACAAAAAGTTATCGTTTAGCAAATTACAATTGGAGAAGATGGCGTTTTTCTGAAATATGTACTAATATATATATATATATACATAACTCCTATAAAATAAAATCTATCCTTTGCAGAAAACCCGAGATAACATCTCATGTAGTTGACGATGTCTTCCTACGAACGATAACCGAAAAGAAGACGATAGAAGATATAGAGCGTCATAAACGGTTGGTGACAGAGTACAAACAAGTCCCACCACTACCACCGCAGTTCGATGTCACCATTCGAAACCACACATTGCCTGAAGCACAGTGGGAGAACTTCTCAGACATCAGCTCAGCATCAGGAATGACACTCACACCGAAAATGGAAAGAGTGCCAATGTCTTTGCCGCCGCAGAAATTTATTGGTGGGTTTGAATAATTTGACTCTATTGCATATTTGTATTTCCTATACGTTTGTGTAGGTAATTTATATGATTCGCACCAGCCAGTCAGTGACACTGGTGGAGGTTCTTTTCTTAAGGTTGAAGGAACAGTAGAACAGGAACACCTCTCTACTTCCATAATCTGTCCGTTTTAGGTCATTAATTATTATATTGTTTTATATTTTACCATATACAACCTTATTAGTGAAATATTCTTCTTCTTCTTTTTCTTAATGACACTAAATTCCTTACAGGTAAAGGCGGCCCTGATCTTTTCTCTCCCGAACTTATAAAGCAAACAGCAACCAACTACCACCAGTCCCCTGACCTTCCACTGCTACCAGAGTTGCCACCGGCTCGCAACCCCCTCTTCCGCGAAGAGGATGATGACGACGTACCGGAACCAACTCCAGCACCTCCTGTTCCACCGAACTGGAGTGTTCTAACACGTGTCTTGAAGACGGAAGCACAGGATGAGGTATGATCTTATATTTTTACTTTAACGAAGTAGAAGAGAAGACAACAAGATCGAATACATTATTATTATGTTTTATTTTTAGACAAAGCTTTGCATCTTTGAACCATTTTTATATGAATTATGTGTTTTTTTATATACGAAATATTAGATAATTGGGGCCGTTAAAGCATTACGTAAGCACTATGGGGGTGGAGGTCGGGGGTTTTCTTTGATTCTCTCATTTCGTGATTACAGTACCTATTTACTTTTTTACACATTACCACACATTGTCTATGCTTGAACACGAAATGCATTTGCGAGGATTCCTACAAAAATGTAACATTTATGTACTATTATTTTTGATAGCTTTGCTTACTTTTGCTGACAAGAGGAAGAGAGAGAGGGGGGGGTTATAAATTGCAGTAAATCTGTTTACGTAATACTTGAACTGCCCCTATACCACAAAATCTTGGAGGTGTTTACTGTGGAACTATTGCTTGCTGTGCTCATTGACACTCTCAATGCCAGAGGGATCGCACAGATAGACTGACCTCTCTTACTTCTTCTATGCGATTTTCTTATTATAAATGAAAATAATTACCCTATGACCTTACAATAAAACTGTTTCAGGTCCTGTCAGAAACAGAGCGTTCCTACCGCTTAACACGTGAGGAACGTCTTCGTTGGCGCGAGCTGATTACTCACGAGAGTACTCTTAGGAGGGAACTGGCTCGCTCCTCTACTCGTGAGGACTTCTCACGACTTGCGCATGACCATCGATTCGCGCCATTATATGCACCTCCTAAATGGGAGGTTATAATTCGAATTTTGGCGCCACCTGAAAGACCACCCAAGGTATGGACCAAACATTTTAAAATATAATATACAAAAGGAAAACTGTTTAAGAACCGTTTCTTAGGGGCTCGCAGTTTTATATAGCGCTTCAAAAGGATCATTCGTTATTTTCATCAAGTCTAGGAATGCTTAGCTTAGGGCAAAGGGCAATACAATCGGACGTCGAGGCAGAATACGAACTTCCACCCGTATCACCTCGACGTCCGCTGTTCCACAACAGCCCTGCGATTCTGTAACAATAAACTCTGATATGGCATTCTGATAAACAAAAAACTACAAGCTCCCACCTTTTCAGAATGCCAAATCATAAAATGACTGCTTCACGACTGATATGAGAGCGACCGCCGATGCGAAAACCGCTGTGTCAGTTCGAAAAGTGAGTTACAGAATCGCAGGGCTGAGCTTTTAAGGCAGTATCTGCCACGCACCACTATTACGTGGCACCAGCTGCCCATTGAAGTATTTCCGAACCAATTCGACTTATGGTCCTTGAAGAAAAGAGCGGATCAGTTCTTAAAAAGCCGGCGACGGACTCGCGAGCCCTCTGGCATGGAGAGTGTCCATGTGCATCAGGAAGCCTCCTGCCTATTCAATAAAAAAAATTACATGTATAATTGTTTGAGGAGCAAAAATAAAATAAAAATAAACAACATTGTTTTTTTCTAGAACCGCTACCGCAAGAAGTCAGAATGGGACTCCCGGTCCCGTCGTAGTTCACTACCAACGTTGTATGAGTATGATAGCGATGCAACTTCACTCCGAGAGCCTCGTTCCCGACGATCCTCCTACCGCAGTGATCATGTTGATATGAGGTGACGGGTCTTAAGTTATTTACTTTAAAATGTACATGTGCTGTGTGAGAAAAGCAAATAATAAACAGAATTTCTATAGATGTAGACCTATTTGTTTGCACACTTGTAACTTACAAGAGTTGCTTGCTATATCAATAATATAATAATAAGACCTAGATATATGTTTTTTATATATGCATAATCGGTGGAGGTATTGTTGTAGTTAAGAATTATGATGTGGAAATAAATAATTGAATATATTACGATAAAAAGCCAAAACGACAAGATTTTGCTATTTCACTGTTTGGCGGTTTGAAGGATTGCTAACATCGTAAAGTATTGGGATTTAACCATACATAACTGAGCAGTAAGTTACGAATCACTTTTTGATATAGCGAGGTTGTTTTTACAATTTTACGGCGACTGGTTTATATCCTGACTGTCATTTAAAGAGAATATCTGCTTGATACACACAAAACACATGAATATTTTCTATATTATTATATATATCTCAGGGAATGATCGGATTCTCAGGAAATGTTCTGATCGAGTCAATTGATCGTTGATTATTATTGTTAGTTTTGTTATTATTTAATTGTTCCATTATTTAGAGTAACTTAACGAAAGTACGACAATTGTTACGACCAATCACAGCAGAGCATATGACTCCAGTGGGGTCTAGGCGCCATCTTGACTTTGGACAGTTCGTTCAGGGAAGCCAGGGTAGTTCTGATGGAGTATTCATTGGAACATTGTGGTGAAGAGACGTTGGATCGAGTTGGGTATATGTGCCTGGAACTCTGCGTTATAATTAAAGCTGAAAGTTATTTGTAATGTTAAAAGGTCGATCTAAATTAAATACTGTACGATAAATATTCGTGTCTTTTGTGCTCGATTTTACCCACACACCCACGGGTTTAGTGGATATCCATATCGATGGAGTGAAGGTATATCTCCGATATATATATTTATTTTATGTGTATTCAGAACATGGGTACTGCCATATATGTCATTTGTTTTATGAAAAGCATACAAAATATAATATAAATAAATTATTTTATGTAACAGGTCAATGTCAGAGATGATGGTTGACTACGCGAGAGAACAAGCCGACACTCATTCAGAAGTATCTGGTACACTCCATGGGCAATACTACGATGACGATAGTGATTCTGAACATCCTAGATACCATCAGCACCCGTACGTATATTTCACCCAGTTTCCCTTGTATAAAACCTCACCACCAAACTTTTTTTAGATCTAGGCCTCAAATTTTTGTATCTGTTTCATGATCATTTGTAATTTAATAGGCAAGTAGGTGCCTACTGTGCTTGACACACGCCGTCGACTTTTTGGGTCTAAGGCAAGCCGGTTTCCTCAATTAGACAGAAAGTCCATTTGTATCCATTGGTATGATCGAACCTACGACCTCAAGGATGAGAGTCACGCTGAAGCCACTAGGCCAACACTCTTGTTTAGTTGGATTCCCTAGTATATCTAGATTATAAATTGTTCGATTTGCGTTTCCAAAACACAAATTTTTTTTAAAGGATTTTTGTCTAAACGCATTGGAAAAGGCCAATAAATAGAAATCACTACCTGTGATACATCACTAAGGGTGAGATTCTGACTATAACTATTCATGTTTTAGAATTTTTTAATTGAAACGGCAAACATTAAAATTCCCTGCGTTATTTTAGAAAAAAATACGTTTAATGTTTATATCACTTAACATAATAAAATATATTTAAAGACCTTTTTGAGGAGGGGCAAATAGACTTCCTCCTACCTGAAAGGAGTATCTTCGACCAGTCTTACCAGTGAAGCGTTCAGCGGTCAGAACAGCGTCGAGAACTTGTATATGTATTTTCGATATCATCGTAGAATATTGTGGATATACAAACTCATATTTCCTGTGTTTAAAGTTGTTTTGTTTCATTTCAAGGTCCTGGCGCAACTCCCTCCATCGTTCCGTTAGCCAGCCTTCACTTGCACGATCAGACACTGAGGTGACAGAACAATGGACTGTGCCAGAGGGAGACGTAACTCCAACACCAGGACGGAGAATTCGAGGTACAATTTACCATTAAAAAAGTATTAGTTTTCTGTCTCGTATATTTTGTCTAACACCGTAGTCTGTTTTGGCTTTGTATATAAGTGTTTTATTTTGTAATATGTATAAGTGTAGCTGTCAGATTACTTATAAATAAATAACTGTAAAATCTCCAGGGCCACAGGGACTTACAACATTCACATCGTCAGAAGTAAGAACATTCCAAGCGACCAGGGAGTGGAGAGAATAACACCATTTTCAAATTAAATCTATCAAGAAGTTGATCCATGATCCTTAAATAACTATTGTGTCAAATACTGAAATCAATTTACTACCAGCATTTAATTCTCGGATTTATTGTTGCGACCTTTTTTTAATATTATATTTTCAAATATAATTCGTAATGCTTTTTTTTCCAAAAGTTACGTGAAATATATTTTCTGGAAAATAGAAAACATTGATCGTAGAATTTGGATTTTTTAAAATTAGCTTCAAAGTCAGCTTAAGAACATAAACGTCATCACTGCCTTGACATTGTGACAAAAATGTGATAGATTTGTATTATTTACATACTATATGTATGTACTTTGTAGAAACTCAAAAACATATATTTTTTCTATGAAATACATTGCTTTATAATCTGTATATTAGGAAACGCTATAATAACAAACTTATTTAGCTAATAATAAAACAAGTTTCTCGTGATTGCAATTACTAAAATAATTTAATAATAACTTCTGATATTTTTTTAATTTATAATCTGTGTAATAATGTTTCTTCTGTTACCATATAATATCAAATTACTATGTAAAACTTTATTGAACAAACACATCTGTTAGTATAGTTAACATTTTACCGCGTTTATTATATATATAAACTAAAACTTATTACACGATCTGTCTCTTTTTAGCATAGCGAGAACACAATTTGTCTGAAAGAGACGAAAACTCTGTAACGTTGTTTCGTATGTATCGGCATATCTTCAACGAGCTTTTTAAAAGTAATTGCATAACTGTTGGTGTAACACCTAGCGATGGAGGCAAACTATCTAGTCTTGTTAATGAAGGCAAACAAACGAAGAACGAGTACGTGTAGGTTGTCATGGTTACCATAATGTTGAACATCGTAACCATGGTAACACATCTTTTGTCTAATACGCCAGTTAATTATGAAAAAACTTCTGTTAAACTGTAAATCAGAGCAAATGATTTCTAATGTAATCCACGTTTTATTTCCAACCGAATACTTAAGAACTTCCATATGTCAAAAACGTTTTGACTTATACGAGTTATATGTAACGCATAGTATTATTAAGTAACACTGAATCACTTTGAACTCATTGAGAAATTTCTAAACGAAACTTAAATATAAGAAGTAATTTCTACTTATAATTTTTTTTAATATTCGATAAAGTTTTGCCTCAATTGCTATGTGAGTATGAATTCGGGATGGTGTTTGAAAGGATAGTCGTAGTTTAACGAGAAATTTAAATGTAAAAATAGTCTTAACAATCAGCCATAGTATAACTTTAGATATTGTAAAAAAAATATATAAAATTACGTTAGGTAAATTGCAGCTTAAATCATATTTTAATAGAATTATTAAAGAAATATATTTACTTAACAATTAACTTGTAATTATAATAAATACTTACATTTTAAATTATTTTTATTTTCCCTCGATTTATTCCCTTTTTATAGTTGTAGTCTTAACGCTAAATAATTTTACTGTGGAGTCAAATGAAAAGCAAAATTAATATCGAGAAATTTATTTTTTCACTTTCAAAGTATAACACGATGACATTAAAAACTTCGATAAGAAATGAATAAATTCGTCACGTCAAAAGATTTCCCAAAGCATAGACTACAAGCACAGATGATATTTAGGTGGGATGACAATGTACAACGAACGGTGAAATGACGGCGCATTTCGTTTCATTGATTTGTCTGTGGACCAATCATAGATACTCGACGATACGTTCCGTTTGAACAATTAAACGAAACGTCATTGTCCGTGGTGTTTTACATTCTAACGCCTTTAGATTTTTTAAATTTGCTCTAAAAGTTATAAGTACAAATCCCAAATTTTAGCATGGCCTGTCCCAGTTAAATTAAATATTGTTAGTTATGGCTTTTAAATCTATGATTTCTGTAATTCATTACTACTATATAAACCTTATGTTTCACAATTTTCTGACTCAGAAACTTCTACAAGGCTATCCCGTGACTGTAGCAGCTCAATACTGAGTTAATATGAACGTAACAAGTGAATCTAACTTGCAATATCAGTGCTATCTGAAAATAAACGACGTAACTACTAGATTCGAAAGAGTGTCAATCGCATTTATAAATTAAAAATCAGTAGAGATTAGGCTGAGTATGAGCTCACTGATCCACGAGTTAAATTTAAAATTAATATAACATTCGCTTAACGAAATAAACACGCCTAGCAGGGACTTTAAATGCAGTCAAAAGACGGTAAAAAGATAAATGACACATGGGCGCCGCCAGGATTATTTTGAGTATGCACTTGCAGTTACAAGTTAACTATTCAGAAGTACAGGTATATGTATATGTAAATTGTTGTCCAAATTCAAATAACAGTGTATCGGTTAATTTATCAAACAGTAAATAAATCTAAATAGGTCTGGGCCTCAGATTTCTGTATCTGTTTCATGATCATCTGTCAATCTAATAGGCAAGTAGGTGATCTCGTGCCTGACAAACGCCGTCGACCTCTTCTTGGATCTAAGATAAGCCGGTTTCCTTACGATGTTCTTCCAGCCGCCAGTTGCCCTCCTTTTCATTTAATTATGTCAACTGTATTATATTTCTGAATGCAACGAAGTGTTAATAAATAAATAAAATAAATATCATGTCAAAGGAGTACCAAAAGATAAGTGCTGAATGAATTGAATATTTCAAACGTGTACCTGACACTGAATAACTATACCTTAGGATATTGAAATTACATAGGAGTGCTGGTCGATGGTTTGATCCCCGGCTGTGCACCAATGGACTTTCTATGTGCGCATCTAACATTGGTTCGAACGGTAAAGGAAAACATCGTGAGGAAACCGGTTTGCCTTAGCCCAAAAAGTTGACGGCGTGTGTCAAGCACAGAAGGCTCATCACCTACTTGCCTGTTAGGTTAACGAATAATCATAAAAACAGACACAGAAATCTGCGGCCCCGACCTAAAATTTAGACGACACTAATTTTATTTCATTAAATTACAATAGCACTGTTAGACAACTGTTATACAAAATAATGAACACAAGATACAGATATATCACGATATACCGACGGAACAAAATCGGTTATCGTATTTCACCCTGTGGAAGACGTATGACAAAGCAACCGAATCCAACCGAGTTAGTGCTCTTCAGAATTTATCAGCTTTTATTAAAAATTGCACTTTGCTGTCGGCGCCTATGCGAATACTAGATGTATATAATAACGCGCAAAATGTTTTTAATATAATATTCGAAACATGTATTAAATAGATCTGAGATGAATGAAGATTAACAATAGTTAACAGCATTTAAACGAGTTTCACATCCTCCGTTAGCGGACTAGCAGCCATTTTAGAAATGTTAAGCCTAGTTCTAGTCAGTACTATTTACATCTAGGTCTAAAGACCCATAGGCCTAACTTGTGACACCTATCTATGAACCATTTGGTCACTACCTACGATATGAAGAAACCGACCGGCTTCAATTTTGGCTTTCTGGTGAAATTTGGCGCACAATTTCAAATATCCATATAGTCTGTGGTTGTCGTCTTTTTGATGATTCTCTTCCTGAAGTTGACTGACTTATTGTCTTAAATTTCCTATGCTTTTGACTTTAATAACGCCAGTTCCAACTGCCAAAGCGTCCTTAGGAGTTTGTCAGTCAATCCGGTCTATGCTTGCCTTCAGAAGGCTTTGGCGCAAATATTTAAATACAAGTAAAGAACAGCCTTCTATCATTACTAACTCTAAAAGTACTCCAAGTATCCTTTCATCTCAAGGCTCCAGCCTTATAAAGATCCATGTCAATACATGAAATAATGGCAACAACTTTTCTATCTACGTTCTACATTCGACTACATTGGTGAACACTTTTATCTTTAGTAAACTTTATATTTGGCTGATGGAACCACATGATTGTCTTCTTCTGGTAACTTGTTTCCAAAATCTTTTCTCCAAATGCTTTTCCTGAAATGATAAAAATAAAATCTGCAAAGAGAAATTCGGTACTGTAGATGATGTGTGTAGATTGTTCTATTACAATAATCATTACTGCAAGGTACAGACGTTGCCGTAGGAACGTTCGCGCATGTTCTTTTAGTATTAAAAGTTTTAAAACATCTGCACATTTAATGGCTGTTATAATTAGACTTCCAGTCACTTTTTGTCTTATTGCTTTGCTTTACAACAAAATTCAAGAAATCTCTGAGCACTTTAGGGTAAGATTTAGAATCGAAAATTACCGCTAAGATTCCCGTAGGTCAAAAAACATTGTGTTACCCGTGGTTACTTTGGCGTTCGGTTCTTCGACTAGAACTTCATTATAGTCAATTCGCAAGTAGTAGAGGTTCACGGCTTATGTAATAGGATGCAAACGGGCAGGAGGCTCACCTGATTTTAAGCATGGACACTCACATTGCCAGAAGGCTCGCAAGTTCGTTGCCGGCCTTTTAATCTCTTTGGTAATCCCTAATTTAGTTATATTAGTGTGTTCGTGCACTAGTAATGCAGTAATATTGAATGATTTCTTACTCCCACCATGGTGAAAACAGCTTTTGTATCCCAGTATGTAACGTAACAAATGCAGCATTGAAATCATCTCACAGCCATAATTCCAGTTCATAGTCACTCGCTTAATGGATAAAACGCTCCTAAAAGAATATACTTCAACATTTTTCTACCCATTGAGCGGATGACTAGCAAGAAGTGATAGACCAGGAAAGGATTGCCAAGCCAAATGAAAAGCAAATGATTTTATTAAAAATGTATTTCGAACTCCAATAAATGGACAGATTAAAACGAGACGGTTTAATTAGGCTTTCGATAAGCTGGATTTAAACCTAGTCGATACGATACCACTTTGCTTACTTTGACTATTTGCTCTGAACTCACCTTAAACATATTTCAATAGAAGTTTAAGGAAACTAATGAAAGGCGGCCGCGATTTCATTGCACTCGTATTGAGATGACTGAATAGCTCAGAGTTTAGCCTTAGGTTATGCATATGATACACAAATCTCTTATATTATGTACCTACGTTGTATTACCGCACAAAAAGAAAGAGCAAAAATGATTGTAAAATTTACATGCCCTGAAAATTATCTCCAGGCGGCGACCGTCTTTTCCGTTCTCGGCGTTATTCAATTGAACCATCAAATTATAAGTGAGCAAAGCGATACAGATACTTAAGCAAAGAACAATTGACAGTATGTCCAATTAGTAACAATTTTCAAATAGCAACAATTTTAGCGTATTTTTTCAAAATATCACGCTGTATTTTAACAATTAACAATTAAAAAGCCGATTAACAATTTCTCATATTTGCCGATTAATTATTCAATTGTCCTTCCAAAACCTACAACTACTTCCCTAAATTATTAAAAACTAACAAACTACTTAGAGTAAGAAGTTGAGAGCGTTATACTAAAATTCCAGAACTTTAAAAGGACAAAAATAGCCAAAAGTTTGTTATTTGTGAATGTATTTTAATATAGTTAATGTATACTATATATCAGCATACGGTCATCTATGTAAAAATACGTCAAAAGGCGTATTTCCCTTTATTCTGTATGAATAAAAATAAAAGTACTACCGCGAAAACCACTCACTCACATTAGGTGTCTCGACCGAACATTATGTCCTTTTAAGAAATTTTCACAAATGCAGTGAAGAAATATCTACACGCAAATCTTTAGACAAATTGTTATAATTATATATTTTAACTAAACAGCACTTGTTCGGTGAGCCTCCGCTATACAAACAATTTTCCACACTGCATTTGCGAGTAAAGATAGTGAAAGAGCAAAAAAAGTTTAAATCCAGCAAGGGAAGGTGCTCAGATGCCATTGACAAAGCATATCTTGTAATATCCGGTGTTGCTCACAGTAGTTCTGCGAGGTGATAGAGGCCTGGAGTTGATGATGAATGGCTCACGGCGGGGGCTATCGGAGGACGCTCGACGACGAAGGAAACCCAATCTGAAATATTTAATTAAATAATTAATGTTAAAAACACTTTTGTAAGTTGTTGTGTGGAGTTATGTTGGTTGCCGCCGGAGGTAAACAGCCTATTTCAATTTGAATAAAACTTATAATTTAATTACAAAGTTTGGCTTCTCGATGATGCGTTTGGTATCTTACGTCTTTTGAATTTTAAGTAACTTATGCTAAAGTGTCCCACGGTCTTCGTTACGTCGAGTATGCACAATTTGACACCTTGGAACCACTGGTACTTATTATAACTAGGACTGCACATAACAAAGGTACGTGTACATTTCACAATTACAGAATAATTTTTATCGGATATTTTATCGCAAACTATCTGTTGTGGTCTCTGGCAGAATGACCAGCACGTCTTCTCTACATCATAATGTTGAGCCAGGGCCAGTTACAAACACAACACGCAAACATTACACACTTAAAATGTACCTTATACTTTAAAAAAACTTTTTGTTTTTTTTATATTTTGTGTGTTTCTGTGTGTGTTTCGTTAGTAATAATGTTATGTTTATGTTTATTTATCACTCTATTCTAGGTCAATTTATTATTCATCTGTAGGAAGAAACTGATCGAGAAACGTCATGGGTGTTACGTTTTTTAATTTGCGTAGTTTTCTCGAGAACATGGCGACGTGTGAACGGCTTTTATATAGGTAAATAACAAAGGATTAACAAAACAAGGATTGCGTTGGAATTTCATACCTGTATTTTTATTTCATGTTGAATTCGTGCCTGTGCAGTGGCTTAAAATCATTAACGTAAGAAATTAATATTTCAAATCGCAAATGCCACATTGGCAGAATTGTCTCTAATAAGTATATAAAATTCTCGTGTCACAATGTTCCCATACTCCTCCAAAACAGTTCGACCTATTCTTATGAATTTTTTTATACATAATCAGTAAGCCTGAGAATCGGCTGTGAAGTGACGTTTTTTTTTTTTAGAAAAAAAATTATGTTTCAATTTTTTTATGATATAAAACATACAACCCCTAATTTTCACCCCTCTACGATCGACCCTTATTTTTTATTATTGTAGATAGTTATTTTTTTGAACTAAAAAAATGTTTCCTAGTAATAATATACATGGCAAAACAAACGTTTGCCGGGTCAGCTAGCAATGATATGAATGTATCATTTGAAATGATAGTAGGCATTGTATAAAAGGGAAATGAAAAAACTATGATACGGGACGAGAAATCGTTCCGAGCGTGCGCTTGAACTAGTACAAATAAGGTATGCTTACATCTTCCCGTTCTGGCATTGAGATCGCGTCCGCGAACGCATCGTCAGAACTTCCGCTCGTGCCAGTTGCTCCATCTCCGAAAGTTTCATTTCGTTTTCTGGAGCTGAATATAGATAGGTCACTTAAATGGAGAAAAGGTAAATTCTTGCTGTATTAATAGTCAAAAATCATTAATTCAAATAGGTAACACAATGTATACATATTAACGTCAAAAAATACCACATTAAATGCTTCTAATTTTACATTTAGTGCCAGTTCTCAAATCAAGGGCGTAGAACGGAAGAGAAGAACTGGAAATAAACTCTCCGCCACTTTTTTTATCGCCATGTTTTTTTGTTTTACACAACGTTTGTAAGGAGCTGCAACCATTACACCATGTTCGACATGACATCTTATGTAATAAATAATTATAAAATAAATTAAAAACAAAGATTTGTCCTCTATCAGCAGGAGGTATGGTGAAATAGGAGCACGCACTTACACTTACTTCTCGTGGGAACAACACGAATTAACCGCATACCGACCGCATACATTCAAGTACGTAAGTAGCACCCGTTCACGAGTATGGCCAGCCATCGGCCATTAAAATTATTATTAAATCTAGCCAGCGATATTTCTTACGTCAAAATAAACAGTATACAATACTTGTTTAATATAGACCGCTATTAAAGCGTCATCTATTGGTATATCTGTATTAATATATTCATTTAGTGCTCACCCTTCCAAGCATATACAGAACTGTGCGAAGTAGTATGCGGGGCGGTGCGGCGCGGCGGCGCGCGGCATAGAGTCACGGCGTCCGCGCTCGCTACGCGTCGCACTAGGGACCGTTGGCATGCCGCGCGAAACGACCAGCGGTCGGACCCGCCATCCTGTACATAAAACGGATATAGGATTTTAAATTCAAGAGACGCACACACTTAGAAAAGCATATTCACCAATAATTTTTATTTAAAATTTTGTGGCGATCCCGAAAGTTATTTTTATTTAAAGATAATATATATTTTGAGCAAACTCGGTCAAGGATTCTTAGTTTCATTTGTAACAGTAACGGCTGAAAATTATGATTCATTGTATATTTATTGATTAGTGTACTAGAACAGTGTAAAATTAATCTGGAATTGTATAGGAAAAACACCTTTTACCAAATTTACCAAAAACATCAAAATATCTTCCTACTAGAGTTTTTTAAAATGGACTTAATGTACTATTTTTGGAAAAAAATTATGATTCCATTAATGATTATTTGCATGAAATATTATAAATAATATAAATGTGATAACTATTTGTATGTAACTTCTATGTAAAATTCCTTTTATGACAAATTTGCACGCCATTATGTGTGGCAGAATATGCGAACTTTAGATTGTACCACCATAAAATGTTTGTACCATATTCTTGCAAATAAATTATTAATAGTATTATAAATGTTTTGTAATAGTCCTATCTCTAATTAAAAATCTATATTTAACTTCCCCTCACCAAGGATTTCTCTTGCTCGACCAGCATGTCCTTCCCCTGGTCCAGGGCTAGTCGCATCTCCGCTTGTGGCGTGAGACGCTCCGGTGTCGATGGTCTTGGCTCTTCCACTGTCTCCTCCACTGCCGGTGACAGGACCGCCTCCGAAGCTACGATACATGGTGATGAATTAATTCAATACAGGAAATACAGACTGGGTTATACAAAAATTTAGATGTCAGTTTTCTGATTAAGAATTATTTATATAAAAGAACCAACTCCACTGGGGTTTTGAATAGCACGTCCGATGTAAATGTAGTTGTACAGTAAGAAGTAGCTTATTAACCTGGTGACAGCTGATGCAGGGGTGTCGGATTGTGTATTGTGGTGCGGTCGAGTGTGGAGGGGGTACTGGCTGAACTGACCGAGTCCCGATGTACGGCGCCAGCAAACGCTCGCTCCACAAAGTCTTTTGAAACTGTAATGTAAAAGTTGCTGTATTATAAAATGATATATCTCAAATTTTGGTAAAAGACGAATCAGAAGAGAGACGAGAAAGAAGAGTCTTATACTTTATACTTAATAATTTTTTTTTTATTTTCAATAAAATCGTTGATACCTTTGATTGATTTACGCGCTTTTTTTATTAATTAGGTAACAAAAATTTTACTTGACTCTTCAAATGTATTATCGATAACAGTTGAGAGACGGCCATTCACCAAAGCAGTAACACGAACTATTGTTGTTCTCGTGAATGTAATGATAATACTTATTAATTAATTATTATATCAAGCGATGGTCTGACGATTTAGTTAAGGTGGCTGTGGAGTAATAGATTGAGGAAGCTAACAACAGATCCATATGGAAAGTTCAGGAGGAGGCCTTTACCCAGGAGGGGTCAATATTGCAGAATACGAATGGAAATAACAATAACTAACGTAGACTAACTTTTATTAACAAATTAAATTATATTTGGCTTTATTATTAATAATAGATATAATATAAGATGTTTGCGATACTTGGTAAGATTTCACTTTTTTTACTTAAAGAAAAGAGAATTACCAGATTGTAAGGGTATCGAAGGCACTTCGTTGGTGGGAGTCCGGTCGGGACTCAGGTCTCGCGCGCCGCCACGCGGCCCGCCAGCTGCCCCGCCGCACACACCGACTCCTGCCTCTGTAAATAGCTTAGTTCCTTTAAGAGTGTTACCAGCATGAAGATTAATATAAAATTGATATAGATTTAGTACCCAAAGTTGAGGTGTACTTTTGCTCTTGTACTTACTGTAAGGTATTTTTCCTCGTATAACATTTGATCGTGTTAAAATATATTGTACGGAAAGGAACCTGATGTTTTATATTAAAAATTATAGAAAAACAAAAATCCCCTAAGTGGCAAGATGCTCAAGGATGATTATTGGAATCGTTTTGAAAAGGTAAAGTTGAATCATCAATTCATGTAGGTATAGTGAGATTCTGGGATTGTATTTGTATTGTAGTATTGTAAATTAAAAGAAAAGATAAAGTCAAAATCTTTTATTTACAAAACCTACATTACTTATTCCCTCTCATTCACAAAACAAGAGAACTAACGGACCATGCTGGGGCCAATGGGGAACAAACATGCATCTCATGCCTCGCCCAAAACATTTATTGAATTTATCAATAGATAAATACGTCGTAACATACATGGAATAATCTAGAGAGAAAACTACGCCCACTTCGGATAAACAAAAAACCCTCATTATTCTACAGTAATTCTTCAAACATGAATCCGAACCACAAACTTATGAAATTTATTAATCATTGTAATGGCATCAATATCTACCATAGATTACAAGATCGAAGAAGTCACAGCATAAGTACGTCCAATCTGCTCCTTCATCCAAATAAAGGAAGGTAATTCTATGAAAGCCATCTTTAGTGGATACAAATTTAAGGCTGTCATTTAGCTGTCAGGGATACAGATATTATTTAAAGGTTCGATTATAAATTATTTTTGTTGTTAGTGTTATTGGTGATGCCAGTGTTAAACAATGACGATTGTGCAAGTGCTTTTAGCGACTTAGAGTGTCGTTTTGAAGCCTTTATGAGGCGGAAGAGTGACTCACCCGGCGCGGAAGCAGAGAGCGGTGGGCGCGGCTCGCAGCATTCGTCAGCAACGGGGCCAAACTCGCTGCCCTGCGACAAGCGCCGCACCAGCGGACCATCACAATGTGAGTTAAACCTATCTACTCTATACATAATGCCAATAACCCCAACATATATTCGCCTGGTTTTTATAATAGTTTCACAGACTTTAAATGAAATGTATGATGCAGTGGCGTAACTATACCATCTGGGGCCCGTGGCAAATTCTTTTGATGGGGCCTTATCAGTAAAAATCGTCACGTTGTACTCAGTTTAATTTTAACAGCTAAACTTAGAGATTTTCAGCGTAATCAATTACACGTGGTATATGTCCCACTAATGGCGCCTCCTCTCTTAGGAGAGGGAATGGCCTGTAGTCCCCACGCTAGCCCAATGCGTATTGGAGACTTCACATTCATCCATAGAACATAATATCTCTTGAGCAGGGACCCTCGTGGGTCGGGGCCCGTGGCATTTTGCCAGCCCCGCCACCCTATTGTTACGCCACTGGTATAATGATAATCGAGAATTTATTCAAAATTCATAAAAATTACCCCATGATGGACCTAAAATAGTACATAACAATTTATTTCGGATCATGCAACAATCCATTCACATGCTTTTAGCACTCTACGCTTCGGGACCTGTATTTTAATACAATAGACTTATTTGACCCATAAGTACATCGGTTATCTTGAGTTGTTTGTAGGAAGTAACCGTTTTTGGGTCATATAAGTATTTTATGACACTAATTTGTATTTTTCTACAACAAATCGTCAATTGATATACGTAAATTTAACATATAAACTATAATATACGTGAGAAGTAGGTATATCAGTTGACGATATAGGAAAACAACAATTGTAATATCAAATTTTTACTATACGACATAACTGTACGGTGAACATAGTACATATATATACTTTCATTACTCAACAAAACACGTAACAAAAACCCCGTATGCAGACATGATTTCCAGGTCCAGGGTCCACACGTTTGCTAAAAACGATTAATCGTATTGAAACACGATAATTATTTCGAGTGCCAACACGATGTCTGGCTTAGAAAGATAAAGGCTAAAATGTGGCTCTGAAATTCCCTTCTGTGCCGTGTTAAAACAATTACAATTACCTCTCTTGGGCCGTGGGGTTCAAGTACGCAGGCGCAAAGATTTAAGATGCGCCTGGTAGATAGTACCGGTGACCCCAGAGCTGGTGCTTTCCTCGCTCAACGAGAAAATGCTGCCAGCGTTAAAGGTACACTACCAAACTTTTTACATTTGTTTTAATTTGATTAATTTTTAATTATTTTTATTATTAAAACATATTAATTTCGGTCCAAGCCGGCTGCGCTTGGTCCCAAGCTCCAGTACCGTACGTAAGTGTCATCTTAATCTATTCTTATATTAGAGAAGAGAGAGAAATAGGTTAGATTTGTATTTTCCTATGTTTGTTTTTGAAGCTATTGGCCAAGTTTGACATTACACCTGAGTAACAAAATCTATATTTATATAAATATTTAAGATATAATTCTAATTAATTAAATACAGGCTTCTTGATTTGAGTATTTAAATGTGCATAAGAATTTTAATTATTTTGTCAGGTTACAGGGTTTTTCTTACATCAAATGACGTTGCTACAAGTTCTTAATCAAACTTCAATTATATTCACCTGGTCATCAGAATTTGTGGGGGTGGGTTTGTTATCTTCGCTGCCACTATCTGAAAATTCCTCTTCTAATAACGGTTCAAGACGTCTTCTGAAAACGTCTCTGTGAAAAAGACAATAGAAAAAATTCAAAGATTTTTATAACTGTGTATAATAATGAGTAATATTATTAATAGTTGGGAAAGTAAAATGTATTTTTATTTAGACACGTCTAATGTAAATCGGCCGTTACATATATATCTATAATCTACATATACGCTACAACCTTTTTGGTCTGCGCCTCAGATATCTGTTCCATTTCTAATAGGCAAGTAGGTGACCAACCGTCTGTGCCTGACACACTTCGTCGACCTTTTGGGTCTATGCCATTCCGGTTTCCTCACGATGTACGATCTACTTCCTTCGCCGTACGAGCGAGTATTAAATACTCGGTACATATACATATATATATTAGACATATATATCTTTATTTAAAAAAAAATCTATTATTTTAACCGACTTCTATAATTTTTTAAATCTTTATAAATAAATCGGATTCAGATTCAGGATATACGGATGCGTAGGTCTTATGGTATCAATACAATAAACATACTTTTTATAGTTTCAACTATATATTAGGTCCTTACATATGAAATTGGCGTTTTGTATGGGAGGAACAAAAAGTCGAATATTTTTAAATACAATATATTTAATTAATCAAAGTATGAACCTTTGTTTTCTATGCACTTTTGCCATCTCATAGGTAGTTCATTGATCCCTTTTCTAAAAAAAACCAGTCGGACGGGAATCAATAAAATCTGTGAAGGCGATTTGGACTGCCCCATCAGAGTTAAATTTTTTCCCTTGCAAGAAGTTGACCAAATTTCGAAAAAAATGGTAATCTGTTGGAGCAAGGTCCGGGGAGTACGGAGGATGTCTTAGACATTCCAATTGAAGCTCTTCTAATTTGGTAGCCGTCTGATGTGCAGTGTGTGGTCTAGCGTTGTCGTGAAGTAGCAATGGCGTGGAGCGATTGACGAGCCTAGGTTGTTTAGCCGCTAGCTTTTCCATCCTGGTTTGCAATTGCTGACAATAGACATCAGCCGTAATAGTCTGGCCAGATTTGAGAAAACTGCAATGAACAATACCGGCACTAGTCCACCAAACGCTTACAAGTAACTTTTTTGGGGTTAATTTTCGCTTGGGGCAGGATTTGGCTGGCTGGCCAGGATCCAACCATTCCGCTGAGCGCTTCCGATTATCGTAAAGAATCCATTTTTCATCACAGGTAATGATTCGGTTTAAAATACCTTCATTATTGTGCCGGTTCAGTAATGTAACGCAGCAGTCGACGCGCGTTTGCCGGTTTGCTTCAGTCAATTCGTGAGGTACCCATCTTTCAAGCTTTTTAATCTTCCCAATTTGCTTCAAGTGAATTAAAACAGTTTGTCACTAACACCGCAGCCTGCAGCTAACTCGGACGTGGTTTGCGATGAATCCGCTTCCACAATAGCCTTCAATACTTCATTATCAACTTGGGTCTCAGGCCGTCCACGGGGCTTGTTCTGCAGGTCGAAATTTCCAGAACGAAAACGTTGAAACCAAAACCGAACTGTGTTTTCTTTTGCAACATGACCGCCATACACATCATTCACCCTTCGAGTCGTTTCCGCAGCACTAGTGCCACGGCGGAACTCCTACTCGTAAATAATGCGATACTTTAAGTTTTCCATTTTGTAAAATGAGTGACGCAAACAGAAAAAAACAAATGAATGACGGTCATTGAAGCACAAATACATGAGTAAATAGTTGTACAAATTTGAATTTGGAATTCCTTACCAAAGAGGAGAACATCGTGATTAAAGTGGCCAGTACGAAATACGCCAATTTCATATGTAAGGACCTAATATATATATATCTATTGAAAATGTTATATAATAATTAAACCATAACTCTAACTAGTCTATAACCTTCCTACTTATAACAATTATGTAATGAACACTCCATACTCTTAATAATACTGAAACAACATAAATATAATTCTCTAGTGATACTGAAATTACAATTAAGAAATATTGTAAATTAATATTTTTTAATTTTGCATTTGGTTTTTGTTATTTACCTTGGCAAAAGTGGCCTTAAAGTAGTAGGACCAGTTATAGTTGGTGCCATAAGTAGCTCATCCATCATCAGCTCTGTATCATCATCGCCAACGTAGGAAGATGAAGACTTTGTTGGAGACTGAAACAATTAGTATCTATTCAACTTTGAAGGGCTCAATATTGTTAGCGAAGTTTTTACCTAATACAAAAACATTAAATATTGGAATTTTGTTTGTAATAAAAACTAGTAAGTGGAATGACATAAATCTCTCACCAATATACAGTTACATTATCAGCAAGTAACAAAAGAGCGAAAGTCATGTCAAGCAATATGATTGGATTTTTTTTATGTAACAGGAGACAAACGTGCAAGAGGCTCACCTGATGTTAAGTGATACCGCCGCCTATGGACACTTTAATTGCCAGTGGTTTGCCAGCAAAGGTGGTGCGCGGCAAAAATTGCCTTAAGAAACGCTCAGTTGTGGAACGACGGACGTCGAGGTGATACGATGCCTTGATGTCCGATGATGAAACTTAGCTGCAGGTCCGAACAACTCCTCTGAACACTTTCCATTGGTAAATGGGGTTGATGATACAGCGAGATCCTACATCTCTTCGCAACGCCTTTTTTTTTACTTGGGTGTTTTTATTGGCCTCAGAAACCCAACGAAAAATATTCGACGATATTTTTTCATTACCAATCTATTTGCTCTTGAAGCTACATGGTAAGCTTTAAGCATCAAAGTTTTTGTAGTCATTTTGAAGTAATGTATAGTTACCGACAAAGTGCCATGATCAGAATCCTGTAGGTTGTCAGACAAGTCTCCAGATGATGGAGTACCCCAGGCTTCCTCACCACTGGCACCGCTACCTTCACCAGTCTCCATGGTCCCATCTTCTGTACCCAGGGTAGACTTCCACTCACTTACACCAAGGCACCTAGATTAATAAATGAGAAAGTTCTTAGATTATTTCTTCTTAGTAAAAAAGACTAGCTTAAAATGATAATCGCTACAACGCAAACGTCAAAATATTCAAAAACTAAAAATATTTGTATTAAAACATTAAATTTCTACAAAATAATTAGTAATTATTCTAAATATAACACACCACAGTAAACTCTTGGTCCTAAATTGATTGAAATGTCTAAACAATTCTAAAGCTAATAGTAATTCTATTCTTAAGTAAAGAAATAGCTAATAATATAACTTAAAATTAATTTTCTAATTATATTAAAATATGTTAGCGAAGAATATGTTGAAATCGAAAATTCACTAGTTTCTCCAAATTGATCTATCATAAAACTTCTACGAAAACTATTATATTCTAAAATTCCAAGCCACTTTTCAACCACGTACTCATCTTAGCGCCTCGTCTCCAATCCTCCTATTAATTAAAAAATATTATTATTACACATTAACGCAAACAAACGTCAAATTTTTTATTAATTGAATGTTATACAATAAACTAACCTCTCTAAAAACGATGGCTGTTTGTGAGCTATTGATGTGTTCGGTACATTTTCAGTGTGACTAAAAATACTCATTTTCTCAACAACGAAGGAGCCGGCACGCGCCGTCCATCCCATGATACCTCCAGCAGAACTCGCCACTGTAACCATTTATAAGGTACTACTTATAATAATTTCATGTTAAAAAAATCAGGTTAAAAGAAAAGATTTTGTCAATGTATCATTGACTGATATAGTTTCAGGAAGATAGTTACAAGGAATTATAAAGACAACGTTTTTATTATTTCGAATAAGTATGCAATGCAGCGAGTAAATGCTGCCAGCTTAAAAGGTACAGGGACCAAACTTTTTAAATATAATGTTTGATTTTTTTCTATTTATTAATTTTTAATCATTTGTGATTAAATTAATATTTCGGAAGGAAGAAAAGGTCCTTGAAAGAAGAAGAAAAGAAAGAAACATGTTTTATTGACAAAGTCGCTGTTTTGATTAATCTTATTATCGGTTTTTATGAATAAACAGGTGCTTTTTAATTTACCTTGTATTTATGTATTGAAGATATATTTCTATACCTGTATTATACGGCTTAGCCGCGTCGGCTTCTTCTGCGGTCAGTCTTACATTTCCATCATCAGTCTCGTCAGAGGGTAATCGTTCCAAACTTGACATTGTGCCGTATCTACAATTGAGACAATTTTAAACCATTGCTATCGCTCCAATATTAGTCCGGAGTTAAAGCTCAAACTTGTACATTTGAACGCATCGTGTCGCAACCCGATATACTGGTGTATTACAAGCCACAAAACTTCTCAAATTCGAAAGAGAAAACCTTCGTTAGAAGACAAAAATGGCAAGTGTTTCAGTATTACCCTTGCTTTAAATTAAGGGACCAATTTTACTTAAATTCTTCTGTACATTAAATAATACGAAATGTGAAACAAACTATGTCCTTAATTTTGTATTCAAAGTGTACAAAAAAGGAATTGGTCGTACAGTTTCTCTATCTGCCATGACGATCCTCAATCCATTTTCTGTCTATGATAAAAATAAATACCTTTTCAACGATATATAAGGGAGGTCATCTGGAACATCGGGAGAATCGGGGGAATCATCTATAAGCTCATCCTGGAAAACGTGAAAATGTATAAACGCTTGTTTATTAAAGTGTAATATCTTCAGTTACAATATAAAAACGTACAGTCTTATTAGTATTATAATCAGGCGTTGGCGGTACTACTGCGATATTGGGTATCGGTGACTCTGATTTAACAGAACCTATGCTGCTGGGCCTGGAATTGGTGTTACTTATGTTTGTGATAGAATGCCTAAATGGTTCAACTCTCATTAAGTGCGCAGCTGGATTGATAGCTGATAAACCCATCAGCATTAAAGGTCCTAGTTCAGTATCTTCGTCCGACAGTACATCGCTTATGTTAGCGTTGTGATCCTCAGTTTCTTCGGATTTCTTCGTTATATCTCCATTCATTTTGGTCATCGCTGCGATGCCCATTCGAGGTGACCTTCTTAATCCTCTCTCAATTTTAAAATCATTATCGTCTTCAAATGTTGAGTCATCATCTAAGAAAACTGATGATGTTCTCAAACGTGTACCAACGTTTTCTCTTCTAGTAACTATATTTATACCTAACACTTTATTCAGCACAGTTTCAGCCTTTTGTCTTGTTATTTCATCTTTTTTATGAGAGGCAGGTGATGAATGTTTTGATTTTGGTAAAGTTATACTTTCAACACATTTTACTTCATTAATGTATTTTTCTTGAGCGATTACGCACTGTACTGGATTGGTTATGTTTGAATTCGAAGTCCTTAAATCATTTGAACTAGAATTGAACACCATAGAGCTGCATGTCGTATGGCTCGTCGATAGTGGGCTGTTCCTGCTACTTGAAGTGGGACTAAGGGAACGTATAGAATGATCTTTTCTTAACTCCAACTTATTTTTTGTATTTCCGTCTGATATACTTCGGGTCATATTTGGCGAATCAGTTTTTAGATCATATGATTTGGATTTCAGCATCTTTTGACTTTGTTCTATGGAATCTATAACTTTTGCTGCTGCCTTTGGGCCATCTTCAGCTTTTATCCTAATAGCACCTTTGCGTTCTAAGTGACAATGAAAATGGGACTTCCGCTTTTCACAACTAGCACTGCATGGACTTTGTGAGCTTTTGTTAGATATTGAGTTTTGAGGTGATGCTTCCAGTTTTGGCTTTAAAGGCAATGTTTCTGTTTGTGACAATAATGGACTGTTTGGTTTGGACAAACATTTTTTGTGGCACTGTCTACATACTGGTAACGTGTCTACTACAACAGGGCTGGTTCTTACAGTAATCTGAAAGAAAACCATAATTAATGACTTGTTTAGTATTGATGAGATTGATCACAAAGATGAGAAATCATTCATTTCATACCTGGCTTCCAGAATTGCTGCTTTTGGATGGACTATGTTCATTTTCCTTCTTTTCAACGGGTGGCGTTTCTTTAACTTCTTTTGTTTCCTTCTTTTCATGATGATCTACCAATTCAGCTACGTCCAATAAATTAAGCTCCTTCGATCGTTTTCTCAGTTCCTCTATACTCCACATCTGATAAACAGGTGTCTTGTCAATGTCTTAAATGCGCTTTTAGCATTATTATGAAACGTGGACTAAATGTTGTCAAAATCTAGAACTATTTGTTACCACGGTTTTATATTAAAATTATTTTTATATGAAAGAAGATAGTTATCTTAACAAAACGGTACTTATTATAAAGACATTTATGTTTTTAAATTTTTAGTGAATTGTTCATAAAGATTAATTAAGTCTACCAACTTTCAACTAAAGTGCTCATAAGACGAATTTGTCGCATCGTAACGACAATTTAAATTGAGTTATTAATATATTAATAATAAGGTGGTAGATTTATTAGCTTACACTTACTTCCATATCTGGTTCCGGTGGATCCAACTCTTCAGCTTCTGGAAGCTGAGTCATCCACCTCTGAAGATGAAGTGTGGATCCCCTGCTTCTAGAACTACGCCCCTCTAGGGCACTACCACCTGTTTGAGTTTCAGCGGAACTTCGCCTTACCTATGGAAAGTACATTGATGATATGTTACTCACAAAAATGCTAGTCTTGGTTGATTAGTATTAAGACTGCACGAAAAGTAAATCTCCAAATTAATTTGAACCAATTTTTGAATATATAAAACAACTTACCTTAGGTTATGTTTTTGATATTTATAAAATAGGATAATACGTTACAAAGAAAAATGGTAGATCTCAAAGAGACTGAGGGAACGTTGAAATAAAAAAAAATCACCACTGACAAATTCACTTTATTCACCGATTTTTAAATATGATCTAAACACAAACATCCAATTAGTTCACAAAAACCGGAAACAATTAAAATGTTTTCTCAAAATTATAAATTCTTTCCACAAATACTAAGAGACTATTAAATTTACACACAGCCAAAAGGTCAAAAATTACTGTTACTAAGTACAAATCCCGTGTAGAAAAGTTAGGTCATACAAAACCGCGGTAGGTTATGTGAACATTTCACGATTGCGATTGTAAGATTTTGAAAAAGGAATTTTAACATGTAAGCTCTGATCAACTACCATTTTTCTTTGTATCGCGACGATGAAGATGGCACAAAACAAAAGTAACTCAAATGTAAAAACGGATATCGCAAAACTAATCGCCAAACATCCACATGACCTGTACAAATTGCAAGGTTCGGGACCTATTTTAGCGCCCATGTCAATTCCTAAGCTCTCGAATCGAGTACCTATGGGTACACTAGTTGTTAAATAATATATTGAGGTAGATAAAATAGGCCCGCGATTCTCTTATATTAAGAATCTAAAGAAAAGCTAATCATTAAAAAATTTACAAAATTGTTAGGACATTGCCAGGATGGATAATCAGCTTCTACTAAAAAGTGAAATGCCATAAGAAAAGGACGGAAGACTCAAAAAGCGACAACGTTACAAAACTATAAAGAATCGTATATTACCTACAGTTTGGTACCCTATAATTACACATTTGACACTCAGTTTAATACTGTAAACAGTAAATAGCAGTAAGCTAACATTTAAATGGGGAAAGTTCAGTTCTTTACATTTCTTGTAGCTCTGATTCGTTTGGGGACTTAATCTAAAACTAATACCTTTAAAACACTTCTGAGAAAATACTGGTAATATTCGAAAATATGTCTCTCAAAATTTATTACCACAACCTTAATATAAGCAATTATTAACAATCCAACAAATGTGTGACCCAATCACAAATATTTAGGTATTTATAACAATGTATAGGTGTCCAATACTATTACTTCCAAGATCATTTAGGCGACACACAAAAAGAAACAGCTACTAGAGTCATAGATAGGTTAATCTATTGGATAGCAAATATGTCATTACATAGAAATATCATTATTGCGCTTATACATGGAAAAAGGATTGCTATTTTTTAAATGGCAATTTTTTGTCAAATTTTGGGCAATTTCCAATTTGATTGCCCGATAGGTACCCAGACTCTAGTTGGTAAACTGTTATTGCGGACGTAAGCCATGTTTGAAATAGGATTAAGCTAGCATGTTACCATGATTCCGGGGGAAATCTACCAACTCCGGATCTGACTCTGCGTATCAAAGTTCTAAATATGCGGGGGGCGTAGGCCGTTCTGGTAAAGCAACACGAGGTAAGAGGGGATCATCAGGCAAAAATATCCTTTCCTCAACATCGTGTTTATATGAAGGATCAATGTCCAAATCGGCAAACGCCAGATCTGCTTCAAAAGATTCCCAAGGGCAAATAGAGTGCTCTGAATAGTCTTCAGCCCCGTCTGGTGTTAATAATGCACTAGGGGATGGGGCATCATCATTTCTCTCGATACTAGAGGATGAGACAAAATGCGATGAAAAAGTTTGAGAATCTACTGGGGAGAGATTGGCAGACGGAGTCTCTGGTGTGGAAGCTGTTTTCCAAACAGTACTGAGAGGCCCTCTTACTGGTCTGGGCTGAGGGGAATCAGAAGGGCTGACATCAAAGCTAACTTTTACTTCTTTTTCAGACTTTTCCTCCACCAGCATATTAAGGTGCGAGCGATAGGAGCTAGCTGGAAGGAGAGCTAGGCTGGAATGCCTTTGTATGCTTGTCGCCGATACCTGTCGTTGCTGGGAGTCCAGCGTTGCGAGACTGAAGGTAAGCTGAGGGTCCGGAGAGTCGAGAGGTGAACCCAAAGGCGTACCAGACATCGTGTGAGCGCGGGAACTGGAAGAAAAGGTTTTGGTTTGTGACTATGATAATTCTTTTTTTTTTAATTACTCAAAATAATAATCTCCTTGATGTCTAAAATGATATGTTGAAATCATTTAATTCCAAACATTACGTAAAAAATGTCTACGAATATTTATACTTCAGCTAACCAATTCTGATGATTTTTTTAAAAGAGAACTATACTACAGATAATATTGGTACTATTTAACGTATATTGCTCCGTTCAAGCCATCATATAACTCACATTTGTCTCTGCAATAAACTCTGCCACACAGCCTTCAGGTCTATAGAAGGTGCTCGAAGCACAATAGGCCTTGACCTGCTGGGAGTCCGTGGGGAACATGACACCAACGGGCTCTCACCACCCGCACGACCCAGTGAGAGACGGAACTCCGTGGCTAGAAATAAGTTAATTTGTGCATTATGAAAAAGTGAATTTTGAGTTTTGATTGTTTTTTTTAGCTAAACAGTGAGAATTGAAGTGATATAATTAATTTTATTTTCAAATGATATACCTTTTTTCCTAACATTGAACTGGGTTTCGGACACAGTAGCCAAGGCTACTGGTTCTTCAGTTACGAACAGTACCCGATCTCTTGAGACGGTGGCAAACAGGAGTAGATCGCTGAAGAGCAAGGCCCAATAAGGCCTTACAGTTCTGCCTTCTACCCTTGAGAGTTCACCGCCAAATATCCACTGCCTTCCTCCTGTGCTGAGTACAAAGGGCTAAAAGGGACATAAAAATATGCTTAAAACATTAAAAAACAAAGTACACATGTCAGATGTGAAACTTCTTTGGCAAACTAATTTTTAAGTCTTGTTCATATTTATACAAACCTAAAACTTGAGATTTCCGAGACTTGGAGGGAGGGAAAAAATATGTTAGGAATGTAATGAATTTCATTGTCATTAAAATATTAAGTGTCGAAAATTAGTAGAAATAATAAATTTAATTGTTTAAATTTATTTCTTCGATAAAAAAAACACGTGGCATTTTAATTTATAATTTGTCATTTGAGATTTCAATAAATTATTTTGCATAAAATATAAAATACTAATTAATATCTATTGTCTTTACAAAATTTTAATTTTAAATATAGAATTTCTATAAGTTGATTCGCCCTTCTCACTTTTTCTCAATCGGTCTCAATCGCTCTCCCTTTTCTTCGACAAAAACGCTGCACATCTTCGTGACGTTCCGTAAAAATTTTACCCTCATGCGCCTAAAGAAGTTTCACTTCAAAAACCTAATTTGAATATCGCTGCTTTTGATAATCTCTGTTCTATTATTACTGTCTTTTTAAAAGTGTGTGTGTTTTAAATACCAGGAAAAGGAGGCTCATCGATGTGAAGCAATCGACGCCAACATTCACACAAGCAGAAAATCTTTAACAAATTGCTTCGAGAACAATATTTAACTGTAATATGAGTATTGTACTTACCTTACATCTAGTGAACACAAGTCTACTTTCAAGATCAGCTACTGATAGAAGAGGTTTTCCATCACCAGCTAAGCCCATCAAACCGGATCCAGCAGTGACGTCTTGATATGCAGTCTTTACAACAAGTTTGAAATATTATCATTCAATTATATATAAACTAAATAGCATAATGTCAATTAACAAATTTTTTACAATTGAGGCCTTGAATTTGGTCATTTCTATAAAAATCACTTTATTTGACGCAAAAACATTACATTTGGTACTTACATTCTAAAGGCTGTAAATTTACAATAGGCAACGAATCGTTGGGTTTCATTGGGTTTATTTATCGTATGCTAAAAGAATTGATCGATTGCCCAAAATGGTAAATGGTAAAAATGGCTATGTAGTAACTAAACTATACAACTTGTTGTTAGTTATTCTAGTAGTTTTATTTGATTATGTATGGTACGTTGTACTTTACTAGTAATTGGTCAGTGTTAATTGGTCTCCAAAATTGGGATCAAAATGTTAATAAATAGTTAATTGGTTTCCAAAATTGGGTCAACGGGGCATTCAATAATAGAGGATTTTATTTTTACTCTATTGTAATCACTCGCGTACAACAATCGAATATAAGCAAAATTACCTGTAATTGTTCAACGATAACTTGAAGCTGCTGTTTCTCCAGCTGGTCATATGGTCCTGTGCCGTTGGCAACAGCGGCTGATCGCATCAGCCGTAATAATTCCCGGAACTGTTCCAATGGTTTATGCACTAACGACGTAATATCCGGTCGTCTTCTGGGTATGGGCGGACTGGTACAAAATCTTGAGAAAGCGCCGCTTGGGTCTTTTGATTTTTTCACCTGAAAAAAAAATATCAAAGCCACCATAGCTTGGTAAAGGGATTCTTGAATAGATACTAATGATAAATGAATGAATTAATAAAATAAACCTGATCCTAGTTGTAATTGTAAATGAAAACCTAGAATGTTTTGGCTTTAAATGAAAAATATCAATGAAAGAGACACATAAATATATTATAATTTAGAACTTCAGTCAAAAATGTTTTATATTACTAAAAAGTTCCTTCTTTAATTACAACATGTACATTTCTGCTTTTATGAAATGAAATAGGAATAAATCAATGAAATCCGAATGTTTTAATCAATAAAAAAAGTAACAATATTCAGTGAGTTATTTGCCACACTTATAATTAAAAAAAATCAGTGGCGGTACAATCTTTTCAGGTCTGGGCCTCAGATTTCTGTATCTGTTTCATGATCATTTGTCAATCTAATAGGCAAGTAGGTGATCAGCCCTGTGTTTGACACACGCCGGCTACTTTTTGGGTGGTATAAGACGAGCCGGTTTTCTCGCGATGTTAGCCTTCACCGTTAGAGCGAATGCGCATATAAAAAGAAAGTCCTTTGGTACACAGCCGGGGATCGACCTCAGTGATGGGAGTCGAACGCTGAAGCCACTAAGCCAACTGCTCGACTTATAATTTACGTATACAAAATACAAAAAAAGCCTTCATGTCTAATGTAAAAATATGATTATTAAAAAAAAATACTAAATTAATTCGTGAAAAAAATTTTTTTTTTGGTAGTAACCTTTCAGAGTTTATTTTGACGGATGTATTACAATACTGGAATAAGATTAATTAAAAGCACGTGAAAACCGCGACTTAAACTCACCAGCACACAGTCAGCTCTTTTCAATCCCAAACAATATTTCTTATAGAGACTAAGGAACACTGACGTTTTTTGTAAATATACAGCGACCACAGTAGATGTTTGGATTTCACCATCGTCCTGCACAACTTGCTCTAGGATTTCTTCTGATAATCTAAAAATCTGAAACAAATCATAATTTGTCATCAATTTTCTAGATATATGTGTAGATATTTTCTAGAATAAACCCACAGACAAAGATTTAAACGTGAAATGTTTTTTTAGTATCTTTCCATGTCGTAATTTTTATACCACGACAACGAGTTCTTTGCAATCACGTTTTTCTGTGTTAAGGGAACACTGCCCAAGTCGAAGCAATTAGAAATAGACTGACTATATAGATTTTGACGGTGGTGGTTTTGAGGGTATCTAAAGGCTCCGTTGACATTTAAGCGTGCAGAGTTATCATTTAAATTAATTCTGGTGGGAAATGAACTAACGATTGAAGCAAATTGTATTGGATATGGTTTAATTTTATAATAACAATAATTTATTTGCAAGAATTTGGTACAAAAATGTTATAGTGGTACAATCTAAAGTTAGCATATTCTGCCCCATATAATGGCGTGCAAATTTGTCTTAAAAGGAAGAAGTTACAATTACATTATGAGTCATAACAATATGTCAGTCATATTAATATTAATTATAATGTTTCTCCCAAATATTCATTAATAGAATTTTTTTTTCAAAAGTAGTACATCAAGTCGATTTTTAAAAACTCTAGTAGATCTTTGAATGTTTTTAGTAAATTATAAACATATTGGAATATGTTTGGTAATATCGTACACATCTGCGATATATTTTTTCCAACTCGGAATCTAGTAACTATTTATTAATTTATCAGCAGTAAATGTTATACCGATTTGAAAGTTTGGGTCAGTATTATAAGTGGATGAATCCCGAATGATGTGGGGGGGGGGGGGGGGGGGGGGGGGGGGGGGGGGGGGGGGGGGGGGTTAAAAAAAAAAAAAGAGGAAAAAAAAAAAAAAAAAAAAAAAAAAAAAAAAAAAAAAAAAAAAAAAAAAAAAAAAAAAAAAAAAAAAAAAAAAAAATTATTTTTATTTTTTTTTTTTTTTTTTTTTTTGTGGGTTTTTGTGTTTTGGGGGGGGAAGGGGGGGGGGGGGGGGGGGGGGGGGGGGGGGGGGGGGGGGGGGGGGGGGGGGGGGGGGGGGGGGGGGGGGGGGGGGGGGGGGGGGGGGGGGGGGGGGGGGGGGGGGGGGGGGGGGGGGGGGGCGCGCGCCCCCGGGGGGCGGGGGGGGGGGGGGGGGGGGGGGGGGGGGGGGGGGGGGGGGGGGGGGGGGGGGGGGGGGGGGGGGGGCGGGGGGGGGGGGGGGGGGGGCCCCCCCCCCCCCCCCCGCGGGGGCGGCCGCCCCCCCCCCCCCGGGGGGGGGGGGGGGGGGGGGGGGGGGGGGGGGGGGGGGGGGGGGGGGGGGGGGGGGGGGGGGGGGGGGGGGGGGGGGGGGGGGGGGGGGGGGGGGGGGGGGGGGGGGGGGGGGGGGGGGGGGGGGGGGGGGGGGGGGGGGGGGGGGGGGGGGGGGGGGGGGGGGGGGGGGGGGGGGGGGGGCGGGGGGGGGGGGGGGGGGGGGGGGGGGGGGGGGGGGGGGGGGGGGGGGGGGGGGGGGGCGGCGGGGCGGCGGGGGGGGGCCCGGGGGGGGGGGCGGGGCCGGGGGCGGGGGGGGGGGGGGGGGGGGGGGGGGGGGGGGGGGGGGGGGGGGGGGGGGGGGGGGGGGGGGGGGGGGGGTTGGGGTCGGGGGGGGGGGGGGGGGGGGGGGGGGGGGGGGGGGGGGGGGGGGGGGGGGGGGGGGGGGGGGGGGGGGGGGGGGGGGGGGGGGGGGGGGGGGGGGGGGGGGGGGGGGGGGGGGGGGGGGGGGGGGGGGGGGGGGGGGGGGGGGGGGGGGGGGGGGGGGGGGGGGGGGGGGGTGGGGGGGGGGGGGGGGGGGGGGGGGGGGGGGGGGGGGGGGGGGGGGGGGGGGGGGGGGGGGGGGGGGGGGGGGGGGGGGGGGGGGGGGGGGGGGGGGGGGGGGGGGGGGGGGGGGGGGGGGGGGGGGGGGGGGGGGGGGGGGGGGGGGGGGGGGGGGGGGGGGGGGGGGGGGGGGGGGGGGGGGGGGGGGGGGGGGGGGGGGGGGGGGGGGGGGGGGGGGGGGGGGGGGGGGGGGGGGGGGGGGGGGGGGGGGGGGGGGGGGGGGGGGGGGGGGGGGGGGGGGGGGGGGGGGGGGGGCCGCCCCCCCCGGGGGGGGGGGGGGGGGGGGGGGGGGGGGGGGGGGGGGGGGGGGGGGGGGGGGGGGGGGGGGGGGGGGGGGGGGGGGGGGGGGGGGGGGGGGGGGGGGGGGGAGGGGGGGGGGGGGGGAAAAGGAAAAAAAAAAAAAAAAAAAAAAACGAGGGCGCCCACAAACACCAAGGGGCGCCCCGCCCGCAATTTGTTTTTTCTTTTCCCCCCGGGGGGGGGGGGGGGGGGGGGGGGGGGGGGGGGGGGGGGGGGGGGGGGGGGGGGGGGGGGGGGGGGGGGGGGGGGGGGGGGGGGGGGGGGGGGGGGGGGGGGGGGGGGGGGGGGGGGGGGGGGGGGGGGGGGGGGGGGGGGGGGGGGGGGGGGGGGGGGGGGGGGGGGGGGGCGGGGGCCCGGGGGGGGGGGGGGGGGGGGGGGGGGGGGGGGGGGGGGGGGGGGGGGGGGGGGGGGGGGGGGGCCGGCCGGGGGGGGGGGGGGGGGGGCCGCCCCCCGGGCCCGCGGGGGGGGGGGGGCGGGGGGGGGGGGGGGGGGGGGGGGGGGGGGGGGGGGGGGGGGGGGGGGGGGGGGGGGGGGGGGGGGGCCCGGGGGCGGGGGGGGGGGGGGGGGGGGGGGGGGGGGGGGGGGGGGGGGGGGGGGGGGGGGGGGGGGGGGGGGGGGGGGGGGGTTTTGGGGGGGGGGGGGCCCCCCCCGGGGGGGGGGGGGGCCCGTTGCCGCCGGGGGGGGGGGTTCGGGGGGGGGGGGGAAATTAAAAACTGGGGGGGCCGCCCCGTCTTCGTAACAATGTCATTTCGCAAAACTCTATTTTGGATAAAGCCCTCTCAATATATGTAGTACTGATGTCTTTCAAAGAATCTCGCGGAAATCAAAGGTTGCATCTTACAAATGAATGTTAAAACTATAGTACAACCTCTTACCTCTTCAATATTTTGAAACAGCAATTGATGATCACTTGGTGCAATCAAATCAGCTCTTTCCGCTAGTGGTGTCACGAATCTGACTAAGCCAAACTGGAGACATGTGGTAAAATGCTGCTCCCGTGCAATCACGGCAAGTAACGATCTCTTTCGACCATCTATGGTGAGATTGGGCGTCTGAAATAAAATTGAATACTTAAAACAATGTATAAACAAGTTTGTTCTCTTTGATATGGTGGCTTCATAGGAACCCTTTACCGTGCAACCCTCATCTCTAAGTTCGTGGGTTCGAATCACGATGCACTAATGGAGTTTTCATTATGTGCGCATGCGCACTTGCACCTACGGTGTAAATCGGCATCTCTCAAAACCAAAAATCTATGAAGATAGAAGATACATGGTGTCAGACAGAAGGCTCACCTACTTGTCTATAAGAATAAGAATGATTAAAGTAACTAATGCAATCTGAGGACAAGACCTGTTTTGGGTTGTAGCGTCGCTGGCTTATTATTATTGGTAGTTTCAGTCAGTTGGTTTCATAGATTAATGTTGGTATCAAGACAGTAGGTACCAGTGACCAAGGACCCAGCGTTACGGGTATTCTGACATGAGGACTTATTACTAAATTCTTTACTAAATATAAATAACTTTGTATACCAATAATTTTTTTTCATATAAACAAAAATAACAGTGACACTACAACTTTTTTAGGTCTGGGCCTCAGATTTCTGTATCTGTTTTAACATCATTTGTCAATCTAATTGGCAAGTAGGTGATCTCCTGTACCTGACATACGCCGTTGACTTTTTGGCAAGCACGGCATTCTCACGATGTTTTCCTTCACCGTTCGAGCTAATGTTAAATGAGTACATAGTAAATCCGTTGGTGCACAGCTGGGTCTACCTATGACCTCAGGAATGAGAGTCGCATGCTGAAGCCACTAGGCCAACACTGCTTTTGATTAACAAAACGTACCTACTTAATAATTAGGTAGATTGATACAAATAAAATCATTGATTAACATACCCTTTACACATTTAAAGAAAAAACTTTTTACCGGATTAAAGTTAAAGTTGTTAAATAATTGTAAATTTATAATAATACATAACTTTAATCCGGTAAAAAGTTTTTCTTTAAATGTGTAAAGGTTATGTTAATCAAAGACAATACTAAATAAAATCATTGCAATCTTGGCTTAATGGTACAACAAAAACAATACAATAAATTAGTATGGGAGCTCTTAGGACAGTGTAATACAATATGTATTTCAATAAAGAATTCAGATGTCAGAGCTTTCCTTGCAAATACCATACTTGAGGGGAACCCCTGCCCTAACCAGAAAGCTGTTCCTTCTGTTATTGTTGTTGACTTTAGGTGTGCATAATAGGGTCGTTTTCAGCGTCCTATTTTAAACACTTCTTAGCAACTCAGGACAGTCTACTTTAGTAGCATTACAAGGTAGACTAGGCAAATTCATTAAATATGTACCATCTGCTTTCTGTCCAACGGACAGTGGACGAACGTAGAAATGCTTGCATGGTGTTAAATAGTCAGGATTGCATCCTATATCATTAAATAAAAAAAATTAACTTTGATTGCTTCAAACAATTACATAGTTCAGGGTCATGAGAGTCTATCAGATAAACTCAGTAGGAACTGCATTCAATTGTATCGGCCTTCGAAGAGGACGCGGCTAAACCAAAACGCGATGGCAATAACAACTTCAATGTTGAGTTCTTGTACCTCGCCGTAGCAATCGCTATCGGAAGTTACAGAGTACTATTGTTTTGTCTAAGCAAAAGATATTTTAGTAACTCTAAAAATCGAACCCAAGTACGCCTAAACAAATCTTATATACACGATAAAAATCAAAGGGGTGAATAAATCATATGGTAAACTATTTGGAATGTACGTTTCCAAGAAAAAACTTTTTAACCGGATTAAAGTTATGTATTATTATAAATTTACAATTATTTAACATAATTTTAAATTTATCCGACGTTTCGCGTGCTTTACAGCGTGCGTGGTCACGGTGACTGAAGACAAAAGGTGTTGGACTTGGATGTCAAAAAGTATCACAGCTGTAGAGAAAGTTGCATTATCTGTATTTATTTCCCCGTAGTTGGTATCGACTAAAAGATGGAGGGTGAAACGTCGGATAAATTTAAAATTATGTTAAATAATTGTAAATTTATAATAATACATAACTTTAATCCGGTTAAAAAGTTTTTTCTTTAAATGTGTAAAGGTTATGTTAATCAAAGACAATACTATGTACGTTTCTATTTTTCCACTCTAGAAGAAGCAACTTTACATTGCTTTTACCTTCTTTATAATTAAATTCATAATTTTATGTTAATACTAGCTTTTGTTTGGCCATGTTTATTTTTTTTAGGAAAAATTTTATTACTTCAATAAAAATAACTATTTACTATACGTATAATAAAAATAGGGGTCATGTATTTTTGTATGCTGTATCATAAAAAAATATTTTTTATTGGGGTGGCCACCCCTTATCACTAAGGGGTTTGAAAGATAGTAGCCGATTCTCAGACTTACTGAATATGCATAAAAAATTTCTTAAGAATCGGTCGAACCCATTCAGAGGAGTAGGTATGGGAACGAACATGGTGACACGAGAATTTTATATATATATAGAGATAATTATATATGTATCACTAGTTTATCGCCATTATTTAATTGACGAAAACCCACAAGAACAGTTCGACTACGATAGTGTTATTTATTTATTTCTATTGAACTGTCACTCATTGTCTCACTGTCTACAGTGAACAGCCTTGCGATTCTGTAACTCACTTTTCGAACTCACACAGCGGTTTTCGCAGCGGCGGTCGCGCTCAAATCAGTCGTGAAGCACCTTGTAGTTTATTGTTTTTCTTACCAGCATAGCTCCAACTAAACGTCATGGTACTTGGCCTTCTATACAAATTCCTCGCCCAGAAAACACCGCGATAGCGTTTTATACGCCACCGAAAGCATAAAATACAAGGCGGTTAAATAAGTTCTTACCGTCACAGCTAAGGTCACCTTTAGTACGCCTTTTTTGTATGTTCAAGCATAGCAGCTCTGGTGACTGGTGACCTGGATCTGGATGATCGAACTGTCAAATAATTCGGGTTTGCAGTGAAAAGTTCCCATAGGTTGGGATAAAATGATTTTGTTATCACGTGTGATTGTGATTGTGAGTGATTGTTCATCCAGTGGCGCTACAACCTTAAATAGCAGTGTAAGTTTAATGCTGGCAGTGTTTCCTCGCTGTATTGCGATACCTATTCGCTGAGCGAGGAAAGCACCAGCTCTGGGGTATCTCTTAGACAGTCGCCAACTTAAATCTTTAATTAGCGCCTGTGTGAGATGCAGTTTGCGTTTGAACCTCACGGCCCAAGAGTCTATACTCCAAAGGGAACAAAATCGGAGCACTAAAAATAAATTTAGAATGCATGACATTGTATAAAATTCAGTGTTTGGTAGTGTCTTAATTGTAGGATTAAAAGCCCTCATATGTAAGTCATTGTTGACGCCAACCCTTTAAGACAATAATGTCCCTTTTTAAGAAAGGGGAGATTCTGACACTCCCCTGTTGCTTGGCCACTCGGTCACAAATCTGCCTGATTGCGTGGCTGATAAGTAGGATGTGGGGGGTCCCTGTAGGGTTAAAAAAAAAAAAAAAAGTCATTGTTGTTTTTGACACCTGTTTCCTAACTTTTTTAGTATAGTAGTTTATTCTAAGAATACATTGTCCTTACATATAATTATTTAACAAATGTAACAAAATATTGTAAACCTATTTTAAAAGAGTAAGTGTGGAGTTTCTTGCCCATTCTTCTCCTTTTGGAAGGGACAACTAGAATCTTCTTTGTATTTTGTTTGACGTTCAAAAGTGCCATTTTAGGTGGTCTAATTGAAATAAATGTTTTGATTTTTTTTTGACAGCGTATTTTGGTCTACCGATGCGCCATCTACCGCTTGGGCAGGGCCATTTCGTCACTTTATAAGTTACTGTTGTCCGGATATCGTGCTAAGTGTCTTTCTTATTATGTAATCTAATAATAATTAAAGTCAATAGGCCCGTCGTTTCACAGAAAGTAGATTTAATTTGAACATCCCTCCAACTCACTAAAGGAAGTTTTTCGGTTTAACAAATTATTAAAGCTTTACTATACCAGAATTAACATTGTAATATAGGAAATCGTGTTATATTTTGGAACAAGAAAAAGCGTCTAAAATACTAGACTTTTTTTTAATAGCATAACACGGGACGCCTAAAAAGGCCAGTCGTTGCAGCCAAGGGAAGATTGTGCTCTTGTAAAAAATAAACAGTTGGTTGACAAACAAAAATGAGTTTCCATCTCTCTCAAGGAAGATCCCACCGGGAGTCGATACACTTCTCTAAAACGCAGAAAAAACCCTCTTGTGAAGCGGAATTCCAGCGATCAAAGTGATGCGGATGAAATTTTCTGTTAAAACCGTTGGTACGGTGATGAAACGAGACAGGAGGGATCATCACAAGCATCTTTCAAACTACAGTACTTGGAGTAAATTAATAAGCTCTCATGACATCCATAGGTTCTTTTCTATTTTTTAATATCCTATTAAAAAGGTGGCGTAATAAAAAAATGAATAAAAAATAAAACAAAATTATATAAAAGCAATAAATTTATTTGCACTTAACCATAAGAAACATAAATTAGAAAAAAACGAAATAAAATTAACAGGAACAAAATTTTCCCTATTACAAAATAAAATCGAGTGTTATCCAAACGAAATACAAAATTAAAAAATACACTTAAAAAAACACACATGTTCTAAGAATGAAAAATAACAAAATATATTTTAACAAAAACAAATTCTTAAACGTAACGATTCCCCATTTAATAAATTAATGTTAACGTTAAAACGTTAGCAATATTTAACTAATATCTAAATAAATAACTGTACAAGTTAAAACTTATAAGCGAGTTAAATTAATGGAATGTATTGTAAACTATAACTATTAATATATATCATAGTGGTGTGGTTAGCATGAGTATAAAAACTCAGTAAAAGTTTGTCGATAAAAACTTTCACTTTGAAGACTCCCTACACTGCATGTTGGTGTACGGATAGGAAAATGAATAAAAATCTTGATTGATTTTCTAGCTATCATGTTGACGCTACTGTTTAGATCACTTTTCTATCAGTTTACCTTCAGGTTGAGTTAAAGTACCGACTTAATTCTTTTTTGAGATGGTAATATCCAAAATAAAAACAAAATGTCATAAAATCCTAGTGCTCTTCTTCTTTAGTTGCTCTTTTATGTTAAGTCACTGTCAACTCTCAAAATTCTTAATTTTAAAGGAATTCTTAAGTTTTGACCTCACAGTAGACGTCATAGAATACTTTGATTATTTTGATAATGAGGGTAGATCGCAAAATTAAACTGCTTATATAAAAACAGTTGTTAAAGTAATTAATCGGTGAATTTTGAATAACTAGGTCTATTCTAGCACCAATTTTTGCTAAATTTTAAATTCATTTACCGAAAATATAACCAAAAGTGACTAGTTAGGTAGGTATCTTGTGGAATCGGCTTTTATTAGAGTGTTTTTTTCATGTACAAAAATGGCATGTATATTTTTCTATCATTATATTATTAAAACTAATATCATTTAAATTCATTTATAGTTTATTTGATTGAAAATATAGAATGTTATGTAATATAATTCGATCTATTTTTAGTCCAAAAATAAGTTGGCGGGTAGTTTGAAAAAACTTTTACTAAATTGGAATATAATATTCGTTGAAATCGCGCGTTCTCTATTTAAAAGCCGATACCAAGACAATTCCAAAAATAAATTCGTCTAAACGATGATGCCATTACCGACCTCTTTGGAGAAGGTGACTTGCGGAAGATGCAGTTTGCGTCTATCAAGGGATTGGCTGGTTGATGAGCAGGCAGTTGGCGGTCTTGCAGCCGCTGGCGACGTTAGGGCAGCTCTCGGAGACCTGGGGGGAGGTGGGGTGGACTCGGCAACGGACGGTATGGTCACTTGAGCTAGACGTGGTCGCACTCCTACGCCATTTTGAGGAACCCGTCTGAAGGTTTCTATGTTAAGGGTTTGGCCTGCTGATCTATGGACAAATGTTAAAATTAGTTAATCATATTTTGACGTGACATCGTCTTATAATTCGATGGAGCCGGCTGCACGCACGAAAAAACACGACGCATGCGGCGTTACCTCGCTGAGAGGCGTTCCATTTAAGGCTTGACGTGCAAGCGAGAGCGCGGAACGAGCAACAAAGTTCGGCAGCGTTCGTTCGTTAAAAAATTGACATTATTGTATTTATGCGTACAAATAAATGTAACTTAATCAATTCAATTGTGGTTTTCATTTACCTTCTTCTCTATATCCATACAAAATATCTATTAAACAAATAAAATTAAAATTTTCTTTTAAAAATGCAACCATTCCATCAGTATTTTCTTATGACGTTGTCACGTTCAACTATCGTCAATAAACCGACTTTACAGACAATCGATTTTTTATAGTATGTCGGTACAAAATATGGAAGTAATCATAATATATTAAAAAGCGATGCATTCGAGCTACTATGAAAAATATTATCAGCAAAAAGCAGATTTATTTCTTTTTAGATTATATTTAGAAACTTTTGAAAGCTCTCTTAATGTTTAGTCTCTCTAAAAGAGAATTTCTGTACTTACTTAACTAGATTCCGTACTTCCTCTTCGGACGCCGTCACAACATTTTTGTTACCAACAAATACGATGTAATCCCCTGCTTTGAGACCCGCTCGTTCTGCTGATCCTCCAGCCGCGACCCTCTCGATTTTTGGAGGCCTCGTCCACACCACGGTGAAACCAAAGCCACCCGCTGAACCACGAGACAATCTGTGAAGAGACAATTTTAAATGAATATAAGAAATATTACATTAACTAGAGTCCTTTGTAATCTTTAATTTCCCGGTTTGTTCGTATTATTTTAATAAAGGTATTAATTTTATAATATTATTCATTCTGTTACATAAAAACTTTGATGTTTTTTGTAATGTGTGGTTTTGTATTTTCCTTATTCCGCAAATATTTTACCATTCTAAAATTTCGACAGAAGTACAACAACATATACAACATATACATACAACTATTGTTCATCGAATTATTTTCTTACGATCTAATATAAAAACTTAAATTCATTAGTGCAGTGTTGGCCTAGTGGCTTCAGCGTGTGATTCTCATCTTTGAGGTCGTAGGTTCGATCCCCGGCTGTGAACTTTCATTCTATATGCGCATTTAACACTAAATCTAACGGTAAAGGAAAACTTCGTGAGGAAACCGGCTTGCCTTAAACCCAAAAAAGTAGACGGCGTGTTTCAGGTTTACCTACTTGTCTATTAAGTTGGCAAATGATCATGAAACAGATATAGAAATCTGAGGCCAAGAGCTAAAAAGGTTGTAGCGCCACTGATTAATTTTTGAGTTAAATTCATATAAACTTCGTTATTTATATTTTACTTTCTAGTCGTCGTAAATGGTGTCCTTCCATTTCTCTGTGCCCGTCTGGGTGCTGCTGGGTCTTCAGGAGGGTCCAACTCCAGGTATCGTAGGAAGAGGTGCTCATCGGCCTCTCTTTGTAACGCGGCTGCCACCTGTGCCTGACTTGCGGATGGACCGTTTGCAACACCTGCAATTATTAAAACCTACGTTAGTATATGATTGAACAAGTAGTTTGTTTAATTTCATCAACGTATTCAAGAAACAATCATTATTTAAAAAAATCTGCTTTAATTATTTTTATTTATAGAACTGTTCCTACATTGCAGAGTTGGACATTTCTTTTCTGAACGCGGGAATGATGTATGAAATAATTTTGGAAATTGAGTTGATTTTGAAAAGAAATCTTCAGTTCAGGTTTCAGTGTTTAACAAAATTCTATACAATGAACAGGAGTGGTTAGGGCGATGCCACCTACCTTTATCAGTATTCTCTTTAGCGTCATTTGTGCTTGTCTCTGTATTGTCCGTAGCCATTTTGCGGCGATCCTCAGTCACGCGACATGCGTCATGCGCCTGACCTCGACCTGACGACTGTAGGAAGTACGTGCCAGATATGTCACTTTTAATAACATCTTTTAATGGGAACGAGATACATCCTAGAAACTCGCTCCTCCTGTAACAAGGAGAATCCATACTTTAAACGTCGAACTTGCGAACGAAAAGTAGGGTTTAAAAATATCATTGCATAGATATGCAATACTTTATAATTAACACTTTAAATATTTTTTTTTTTTTTTTTTTTATTATTGATTTTCAATAGCTGATAGGATTGGGACCTCCTTTGCGCAAGATGGGAACGCCTTCCATTATAGGTGACCAACTAATTATAATTTAATTTAACACGTATAGCTAAGCTAAGTATTACAATTTTACAATTTACTAAACATAATCTAAGGTTAAAATGTGAATAATATAAGTGTGATGTATGTGTGTGTGTGTTTGGTGTTTATGAGAATGAATTTAACTGATTGTGAGTTGACAATTACAGTGTAAGAGAATAAAAGGCTTCGCAAGGCATAGAACGTGTAATTGTTTTGTTTGTAGTACTCTTTAATGTATAATATTCTACGGTTACGATATTTGTAAATATGTGATGAACATGTATACTAACAATACAATAATTGACATAATATCTGTTGCATTGCTTAATTTGTAAGTAATACTTTGTGCTTATTTTAGTATAATAGTTTTATTCTTAGAGTACATTGTCTTCACATATAATTGTTTAATCTAATGTATACAAAATATTTTAAACCCATTTTAAAAGAGTAAGTGTGGAGTTTCTTGCCTATTCTTCTCCACACGAAACAACCATTTGGAAGGGGCAACTAGAATCATCTCTAATATATAAATATTTTATTTGACGTTTAAAAAGTGCCATTTTAGGACTTATATTTTAACATTTTTAGCATTTTTCGTTTGGCATGCAAATCAAATTCATGACGAAAGTACGCAGTCGTAATAGAAATTCGAAACTATTATAACGAAAATAAAGAATAATTCGTCTTTTAACATTGTTCAGAGTCTAGGCCCACGCCCCACAAGGGGGCAATTTAATGGTCGAAAATTTCGAAATTTTTTTTTTTTAAGTAAGCAATTCAATTTTAGATATTAAAAGTTATGTATGTTACAAAGGAGGGCCTAAGAATTTTGGAAAGGGTAAGGTGGGGCATGGCACAAAATAGGTTGGGAAACACTGGTTTAGACTATACGAGAATAGAACAGATATTTATAGATCTACGACTGAAAGTTCAATTCGAGTTTTGTGTATTCAGTTTGACAGTCTTTGACGTCACCAGCCAAACCCGAAGTCTAAAATATATTGATAGATGTTAATGATACTTTTCTTTGTTCTCCGTGTTTAAAAATCTCTTAACATTCGGTTAGCAAATATTATATGAAACTTTCAGTATTTCTTTGCTTAGGTTGCTTTTCCCTTATTATGCCAAATTATTTAATAAATTCTCGGGATGTTGAAATAAGCACTAAGTATATCTCACTATCACAATCAAATATACAGTGTTTACAATTTTTTAACCTCCATGGTAATAAAACAAAAAGAAAAAAAGAAAATTAAAACAAATTTAAAAAAAGTTTGGTCCCTGTGGCAGTGTACCTTTAACGCTGGCTGCATTTCCTCGCTGTATTGCGATATTATTCTTTGAGCGAGGAAAGCTTGGAGTCACCGTTACGTTCTAACAGACACCAACTAAATCTTTAATTAACCAGGCGTTGGCCTGTGCACTTGAACCCCAAGCACAAGCACAACAGCCCAAGGGTTTACTCCAAAGGGAACAAAATCGAAGTTGGAGGAAAGACTTTATAAGCCGTTTATTATTTTCCGCCTGCTCAGCGGCTGCCCCAGCTTTTTTGCTCGTCCGAAGGAGGTGAGACGGGCCAAACGTGTCCACACAAGTAGCATCCCATATGAAAGCCGTCCCATCTTCCAAGGGATCAATGACGTCCCATCTGGCCACTTGCCATCGTCTCACTATCATATTTTATAAATTTTAGATTTGCCTGAATTTTTTCATTCAAGAAGAGACATTGACAAAGGATGTCCCATCAAATATTCTTGATGGGTCCTTAATAATTTGTTATAAAAGAATTCGTTGCTATGACGATGACTATGTGTTATGTTGATGTTATATTGACACATGAGGAGAATGTGATTAATGGGTTTTTGATCTCAAGTAGTCTGTGCGGAAGAAGCGTCGTGGGATTTGAGGTCACAAGTGCTATTAACCTTTTTTATTGTTGACAACACTGCGTCATTGCGTCTACGTCATTATAGTCATCTTGACACTTAATAGGAAAAAAATAAAAGTATGATTTTTTTTGGCATTGAAACGAATACATACAAGTTCCTGCACAGACCCTAATTTTTGATATATCTCGTCACCCACTTCATTGGTTCTTTAGACAAGAATCGTCGTTATCACGTAATATTGAATACTAGAAAACGCTTTGAATTATGTGATCTCCTGAAAATCCGTACGTAACTCTTATGAATTAATTATACAGGTCTTTGACCCTTGCATGTCTAGCCAGCACTTGCATGCATCAATAGTTCAACAGGCAAGGGTAAATTTTCTTTGACCTTGCCTGGTTAATACGATAATTTCCAAGTACGCCATTTCAGCAATATCAAAAGTTTTGCAATATGCTGTCTTGAATCTTGTATGTTTTAGAAGTCTCTGGCTTTAAAACTTTCGTGTGTATATGTTACATACATGCTCCTTGCTTTATGAATAAGCTCAGTCGGAAGTCATGTTACATAAACTTAAACTTTGAAAGAGCCACAAACCGCAATTGATGACATTTCCTTTCTTCATTGTAATTCATGAAGCAATGTGGCAAATATTACTGGGCGTCTATTTCCGCCAATACCCAATTCTCTCTCGCTATTTCAACGCTTGAACATAGATAAGCTTTTTAGTCTAATTTCCGTTCAGTTTCGACAATGTTAAGTTAATGAATCTATTATATAGTTTATTCAACTGATTGTTCAAAGCCGCTTTCAAAATAACATGCACATTTATTTTACGAAACATTTTGATGACGTTTTAAAACTTCGTAAGAGAGAAAACCCGCTCCTACGAACAGCCATGGTGGCCTCCAGACTTAAAACACATATGCCAATGGCTGTACAACCTTTTTAGGTCTGGGCCTCAGATTTCTGTATCTGTTCCGTGATCATTTCTAATAGGCAAGTAGGTGATCAAACTCCTGTGCACACACCGTCTACTTTTTGGGTTTCCTCACGATGTTTTCTTTCACCGCACGAGCGAGTCTTAAGACCATAGAAAGTCCATTGGTGCACAGTCGGTGATCGAACCTACGCCAGGGATGAGAGTCGCACGTGGAAACCACTAGGCCAACACTGCTCCAGATTTAAAATCCTAAATTTCTTGAAACTCTTTGTAGAATACATCTAGTAAACAACACAAACTTGGTATAGGTACATCTTTCCAACATTCAAAACATTCTTATATTAACATTGATCACAACACATCTATAGGCCGGTGCCTAGGGACATTAAGCTTCTAATCATGCAAGGGCTGCCTCAAAGCCTTTCTTCCACGAGGTGCATCCATGCCAACTAGAGTGACTGGGGACAGCAAGAGGGCACTTACTGACTGTGATGTCACTCTTCTACAATCTCCTTAGTATCGTTAATCTCAACTGGTAGGCTGTTCTTTCTATCTCTAGTTTCGGGAGGATCCCATTCGGGCAAGCTATTCTTTCGGGATAAGAAGTTTTTATGGGCATGCTGGTGGGAACAGTGCTGTCTCGGTTCCTCTTCGCGTCGTGGGTGACTCAGTCCGGCGACGGTTTGTGAGATGAATGACATGGTTATATGAACTGAAATTTGAGTTCTTTTTAATATATGTTAATCAATGGAGATGTTGGTCGTTCATAATGAAAGGTAAATTCAAAAAGTAAAATAAAATAAATTAATGGCGCTACAACCTCTTTAGGTCTGGGATTAGATTTCCGAATCTGTTTCATGATCATATTTCAATCTAATAGGCAAGTAGGTGATCAGCCTCTAGTGCCTGACACCAACATCGACTTTTTGGGTCTAAGACATGTCGGTTTCCTCACGATGTTTTCCTGTACCGTTCGAGCGAATGTTAAATGTGCGCATAGAAAGAAAGCCCATTGGGGCACAGCCGGGAATCGAACCTACGACCTCAGGGATGAGGGTCGCACGCCACTAGGCCAACACTGCTCAAATTCAAGAAGTAATGAGTGTATTTCTGTAATTTAATAAGGAAAATATACTTATGAGTTATTTAAAAAACACTGCGAACAAATAGCCGTCGACACGCGATCATAAGAAATTGCCTTTAATTGACGAGGGTTTTCCGTGTGGAAATTGTATACAATTTTCAAGATCTTTGAAAGTTTTTCTTTGTTTTTCTAACTCAATACTTTAATGTTTTCCTATTGTTTGAAAATTGGTATGGTTTTATATAGGAGCTTATTATAAATGTTTCCGCATAGTTTATATAACCACGTACCATAACTACATATATATGAAACGAGTTGTTTGAATTATTTGACGCAAAGTGAAGGTTTGGAAGCTTTTAAAAACTAATAGAAAATTAACTTTATGTTTAATATGTAAGGAATTCGAAACTTTATCCCAATAAGATAAAATTAAATTTAGACATGGAAATTGGGCGGAAAAGAAAAAGGATCATAATAACTTGGAATTTCAAAATCTAATCGTGTAATTCTTTACTTAGTAGGAAGCCAAAAATGCAATAATAAACTTTTCATTGTATTTGTACTTCATAAGTTAATAATTAACTTAGTAATTTATTTCTATGAACTACATTTAATATATTAATAAGTATATAATTACTCGTACAAACTCTTTAGTTTAAAACACAAATATGACATAAAACTGGCGCCTATAGTGACAATTAATGGTTTCATTTATTTTGTCATTTGTCAAAGAATGTTAGGATGAATTACGAGTATATGGCCGTGTGCCAAGAATCTTTCACACTTAAAAGAGAACACACTTGAAGCTACGAATTATAAGCACTAAATGTAATGTTTTGAATTAAAATTATGTATTTATTACAGATCAAAACGCCACAAATATCTTTCAGAAAAATATAAGAAGAAAAATCTTTGGTATTGTAAAGATTTCGTGGTTCATATTATCTTTGTGTTTTCGACCTAAATAAATTCAACGTAAAATTTAAAAGCAATTTAAATTTAACTTCTCTTTGAAAACTCTTTCAAAATCTCTTCATTTATAACACTGCATCGCAGTACAGAAAAGCTGTAAGCGCAATCATTTGTATAAACAAAAGAGCATCTTCACAAAGCCCTCACATTCAAGATCATGACGTCACAGGACGTCCCACTTCCCACACTCGAGAACTGGGCCACTGCTAATGGAACCGGGGGCAGAAGTCACGAGTTTTCACGCGAACTATATGCACCCTTAGTGTAACTGTCGTGGTAATTATTTTCACTCGGCATATTTCTAAATATCTATTTAAAATATCAACAGTGAAGATTAAAGACTAAAATGCTGTTATTAAATCACTGCTTAGGGATTTAATTACGAAAATTTTTATAATTAGGCTTCATAATTTGAAAAGTCTATCGTATGGATGTCACTCTAGTAAAAGTCACCTATATATATATTAATGTTCACTAGTACAGAGGAACAGAACAGAGCAGTATTAGCCTAGTGGCTATAGCGTGCGACTCTCATACCTGAGGTCGTAGGTTCGATCCCCGGCTGTGCACCAATGGACTTTCATTTTATGTACACATTTAACATTTGCTCGAACAGTGAAGGAAAACGTGAGAAAACCGACATGTCTTAGACCCAAAAAGTCGGCGGCGTGTGTCACTGGAGGCTGATCACCTACCTGCCTATTAGATTTAAAAATGATCATGAAACAGATTCAAAAATCTGAGGCCAAGACCTGAAGAGGTTGTAGCGCCACTGATTTATTTTTAGTACAAAGGAAAGTGTATTTTTTGGATGTTTACAACAAATTTGTTAGTTTCTTTTTAAAAAATATTTATTATTTTAAGCTCATTCGATATAAAGTTCTCGTAAAAGCGACACAGACAAACACAATATGCCGCAGTCAACTTCAGTCAAGGCCCTTTGACTTTTAATTATAACTTGCGGTTCTAAATGTTAACTGTACTGCGCTTCAATTACATAAGCGACGGACAGACACTTTCATAAATTGACATTTTCAACTAAAAGCTTCTGTTAAATTAACCCCGATTCAAATTACAGCTAAAATTAATATCTTTGTATTGATGTCCCGACTAATCGAACCTTATTTTTATGTCTTCTAAATTAAATTGTTGTCGAAAGCAAGACTTCAAGATTATGTATTATATATAATAAGGTTGTATTTATATATTAACAAACATTGGAAAATTACCGGAAACTAAACGCCGGAAACAGGAAATCACAGCGCATCTATTTTTTTTATATTTAAGCCCGGACTATTTCGTAGTATCAGTTATAAACTTCATGCAGTATTAAATTACGTAATTCAATGAGAAATAAAAATATTCTTATGAATGCTTTATTTACTAAGTTGAAAGGCTTAGTACATATGCTCTGCGTTACTCTAATTAAGGGCGTTATGACTGCGGTTTGACCTGATTTAAATCACTTTTGTAAACACTATATTTTATCTAATATTCTAAAGGGTTCAGAACTCGAATGAATTTACAAACTCATCATTTCACCGTTTATAAGCAGGGCAATTATTTATTATGTCTTATAGATAATTAAATATATTAGCTGAAAATTAGTATTTAATAACCCCGAGTGAAAAGTCATAATTCAGCGTCGTCAGTCACCTAATGGTGCTATCAGCCAACTCCAGTGGCTTCCCCAACGAAATAATGCCTTTGTTTACGATACAGCGTTGGCCCATGTTTAACTAACACTTTATGGGTAGTAAAACCACTGTATCATAAAAAGGGGCTTGACAATGTTACCGAGGGCTGGAAATTTAAGTAAAGATCAATGAAATGGAATGTTTTGGTAATTTTCTAACCATTTTTTCCTTTAAAATGAAACTCAAAGTTAGTTCGTATGTAGGGTAAGATTTAGAATTGAATAATAGCGCTCAGTATTGCCACTTACTAATTTGACACATTTGTCAGTGCTCATTCTAGTCTGATTAAATATTATATTTCCCTAAATGTCTATAATTGTGCTACGTCGTAGCACGTACTTCGTAGCAGGCTTACGAAGCTCAATTAAAGATGTGTGCAATGTTAGCATTTAAGTTACGTAGGAGAAATAGTAATAAGCTGTTTAAAGTTTTCTAGAACTCTCAAAATTATTAAATCAAAAATAACGCTTTTAATAAAATTATTTAATTAGCTATAGAAATCATAATGATAAAACGTTCAAACAATTTTCACCGAATGGTAAATCTAATCCCACATTGTTGGTATTGTTTCAAAATGTTGACTAAGCTTAATCGAGTTCGCTAACGTTGTATTTACCCCAAATGTATTAACGCGATGTTAACATTATTTGTAGTAGCGATATTTATTTTAGCTGTTAATGTTTCAATAGAAGATTTTCCTACATAACCAATGATATTCCAGATTCGTTTAGTAATATTTTTCTCTTGTATATATTTAGTTTAATTATATATTTATTGTGGAGGCCGTTCGCGCCTATTACACTTTTGTTACTGGTAATAGTTTTAGATTATAAATATATATCTATAAAAGTTATAAGTTCTATTTAAATAGCAAGTTCTTTCTATGTAATAAGTTCTATCTTAGTAGTAAGTTCTATCTAAGTAATAAGTTATTTCTATGTAATAAGTTTAATGTTGTAAATCTTTTATATTTACGTTTTAAAGTTTCTTTTTTTGATGAACGGTTTTCAGAAGAACTTATAATTATAGGAAATCCTCTAATACGGCAGTTTTGCATATTTGTAATTCAAGTGGTAATTAGTCCATTGAACCGCGGGTTTTAACTTCTTAAGTCGCTGACTGCGTTAATTGGCACTTATATTAATGAGGCAATTCCAAAAAATTTAATAATGACACGGAGGGAGTAGAGATTTTTTATTATGAACCTTTTGTTAAGTATAGATCAGCGTACGATTCTTGAGGTCGTGCGTTTGAATCCTGGTATTGTACCAATGGTTATCTTTGTATATTTTTTTCAGGAGGCTCATCTGATGATGTCAAGTGATACCGCCCCGCCGCTCATGGACACTCACATTGCCAGAAGGCCAAGTGCCATGCGTTTAAGAATTGGTACGCTCTTTTCTTAAAGGACCCTAAGTCGAATTGGTTCGGAAAAATTATTAAACGGTAAAATTTTATAGACTAACAATCGAGGTATATCAGCCATAGAAGGCTGATCACCTACTAGAATGATATGGACCAGGACCCATGACGTGTAGTGGCCAGTGGGTTGTTATTGATTAACTAAGCAAATATTTATAAGTATGCATACATTGGCATTTATCCAAAAACTTAAATGGAAGTGTTATCGACAGTAATAGACTGCCACAAAACACCAGGATTCTATTTTCATAGGAAATCTTATAAAATATCGGATTACCTAGAAGATAAGGAAGCTTGAAATTAAAAATAAATGGCTCCAGCCATTTAATTTAATTGTAACTAATATACGCATTGTAAATAACTTAAGACGATCAAAAAAAATGGGCCGAGGTTATTGCCTTTCTCCTTGTGTGCTGGTCGCGATTTCGAACAGGCGTTAGAGTTTCAAAGTGATCATGTGATTCAACTGAATAAATGAATTTTAAGTTTGACTTTATAGTACCTGTTGTATTTGCTGTGAGACGTTTGAAGACAGCATGTTGTCGACTGGATTGCAGCTGGGTTTATAGTCAATGATAGATCATGCGTGTGAGTCTGGTTAAAGCAATCTGGTGATTGAATTTTGGTTATGTTCCTAAAATGAGTTTAAACGCAGCGTTGTCCTAGTTAAGACAGGGATTTTGAGTCTAAAATTAGTGGGAGGCCTATTTCAACGGGTTATAAAAATAGTTCACGATATGTCAGAACCAAAAGTCTGATTTCCCTAGAAGGTAATAAAAACATTGTTTATTCGTTAAAAAGTGAAATATCAAGTCGCCTTTAACGAAGAACTGATTTTTTGTTTGTTCCGGGGAAATATTTTCTTCTTAATTTTACATTTAATATATAATAAATGATTGTGTGTAAATCATATATATTTTACTACGTTTTTAAAAAAACAGAGACATTATGAGTAACGTGTAGATATATTTTTTTTATCTCTAAACGTTACCTTGTGGTATACGGATGATAAAAATCAATATTTGTTTTAATTTGTCCGTTTACAACTGAAAGAGAGACAGAAGTAAACCTAGCTTCCATGTTTGTGAAGAACAAACCAAAGGAGAAAGGCAATATTCAAACATGTAGATGTTGTATGGAAATATATGCAATTGCATGGCACATGTCTGATTTTTATGTAATAGGAGCCAAAAGGGCAGGAGGAAATATGTGAAACATTCTTCTCCATATGAAACTACCTTTTAGAAGGGGCAACTAGTATTTTTTTAAACATTTTTAACTTGTTTTAATTTTTTAAATTTGATTTTGACTTCCTAATTGAAATAAATGATTTGACTTTAACTTTAAGTAAAACCTCATTTGATTTAGAGACCTATTAATTAGCGATTGAAGTGAAAAGTTATAGTTAAGTTACCTCATGAGAAACGTGGACCAATTTAGGCAAGCCGAATATTGGAAACCGCCATTGAAACTGTTACACTTATAAATCATTAATTTAAACATAATTTATTTATAATATTAAGGAATACTAACATCGATTAAGAATAAATAATTTAAGGTTAACATATATTTAATAACTTGCAAAACCATGTGTTTTTTTATAATAAAGTCATCATTCAGTTTTCACCAAGCAATTACGAAAGTTATTATTTTAATAAAGCATGGAACGTTCCATTTTCAAAAAAGCTCGATTCATAGACAACACAACATACTTACAGATTCAAGAAAAAAATCCTTTACACAAACACACACTACACAACACTTAGGGTTTTAGGATTTTAGCGTGCGGGCGTAGTTACAGTGAATATCCCACGACTGGCCGGGTAACGCTTGGAAATCGATCGCTGTGCGCATAACGGTGCGCGTAACCCTATATCTTATGTATGAACAGGGCTACTGTCCGTTCCATACGAAATTAAAGACAATACTGAATTCATAATTAAAAAGGTTGTAACGTGTTATTATAGATAGAGGACTAATCTTTGTTTTTAATTTATTTAATTTTTATTTATTACATAAGATGTCATGTGGAACATGGTGTAATGGTAAATCCTTACAAACGTTGTGTTAAACAAAAAACTTGGCGATTAAAAATAGTGGCGGAGAGTTTAATGCCAGTTCTTCTGTTTCGTTCGATGGCCTTGATTTGAGAACTGGCAGTAAATGTAAATTTTTTTGACGTTCATAAGTGTACATTGTGTTACCTATATCAATAAATGATTTTGACTTTGACTCGAAATATTTCAATTATTATTTATGTTGAATTTGTAAGGCTTTCGTATTTTATTTTACTTAAATCTTGTTAATAATGAATCAACAAAGAAGAGACGTGGGCTGATTGACAGAAATTTTCTTTCCCTCAAAGCATTATAGGCGTTTTAATACAAATCAGTGTCATATGTAAAAAATATATATTATTTAATATTATAAATCAAAAATATGTTTTCTTTAACATAGACTATTTGTATATATTTATTTTATGGGTATTTTTTAGTAATATTTTGTACAAATTGGGAGCCCTAATGAACGTAGTCATCCCCTCACTAACATTCTATTTAATTATGTTTCTTTTAACAAATTCACTCTAATTATACAGTTAACGATGTTCTTATGAATTTTATATCATTTTTAGATGAGCCCTCTATATTACAGGTCAAGGAGAATGTGTTGAGGTTCCTTTTGGATTTCGGAGTAATTCGAAAACCTTCTAAACTAACTGTTGTGGTCTCTGGCAGAATGACCAGTGCCATGGAACATGTCTGCTCATAATTCTGAGCCAGGGCCGTTTGCAACCACAACACACAGATTACATAGGTACTTAAAATGCACCTTATTCCTTTTTTGATTATTAATAACAAAAAATCAATAACTAACCCTATATATTAATTAATAATTAAAATATATTATTAAAAAGGAGTTTAGGCAAGGTTCTGAAGATACTGGCAGCGTTCCCCGTTTAAACAGCTAAACTAAATCTTTGTCCGAGGTAGCTGCCAGCTCTTCGGTCTCCTGTGATGTCGACTAACCTTTTTGCTATTTCTTTAAAAATCCTTATAACGCTAGGACCCCACGGACCAAGGGTCTCGACACCGAATTATACTTTGCGTGTTACGTTAGTTATAAATGTTATGTTACGTTATTAACAAAAAACGTTTCGAATTGTTATGTACATCATTGTTGCTACCCAGTGGATGATTATCGCAATTTTCTAATATATTGAATCAACTACTATTTAATAAGAAGGTCCTTGGGTTGTTGAAATCTTCTTTCAGTGTATTTTGTACATACGAGTATAATATCAGACTTCGTACCTGTATTTCTTGTCTCTGTGCCACACAGAGATGTGGAGCATTTGGTGGTCATAGACGGCAGACGGCAGGGATAGCGTCAAGTGTCTCTGGAATTCTGGCTCTCTTTTTCCGTAAAGAACGGAAGTGCGCTGGAAAATTGATCGCTGCGACTGATTTTCTGCTACACCACTGATAACAACCTATAGATATACAGATAATTAGTGAAAGATAATCATCTGCTTATAGTAATATAGTGTTTTGTATAATAACAAGTATATTTTAGTAAATACAGTTTTTTAGATTTTGATGGAACAATAACATATTTTTAATTAAATGAAGGAAAAAAATACCAAGTGCTTCTTTTGTGAGTGTATATTGTTAATGCGTTGTATGTAAAATATATTATCTACCTGCCAGAGGTCTAAGTCTAAACTAAGTCTTTAATCTTACTAATTTCTTTCTAAGAACGACTGATTAAGAAATCATATTGAAGTTTTAGCTAAATAGCTTGAGTAAATGTTATATCGAATCTGAGTGTCAATTGTTTAAAATAAAATAGACAAAAGTCTATTTTGTTTTTATGGAACTCGATTTCTAATTAAAATTAACCGTAACAGAACCGTAAAGTTATTTACGCCAATAACATAAATGAGATACTAAAATTTTATGACCAAACTTTCTCGATTTTATGTTTCAAAACATACTCCATAGCCTAGTTCTGTACGCACTCTTAAAAAATCTTTCGCCCGCTGTCACAATATAAAACTTTATCAGAATTGCATTATTTCACAAGTGTGACTAACTTTTTAAAATAAGGACACATTAGAATGTAGTTTTAAAAAACGTTTGTCAAAAATGTCTCAACGTTGATGGATAACATAAAATGGTAGACGAATTACCTTTGCATATGCGTTTATGTCATCCGTTTTTCCTGAAGTCCTTTGTAAGTCTCGACACCTGATCACTGTAATTAAATTATTATTTAGTTATCTAATCAATGGAAAAATAATTAACAATTAATAAGAAAGGAGCGATAGTCACCACTCACCGTGTACATCTATCAAATCGTCTCTCGTAATAATTTCTAAATCAATCGTTCCCTTCAAAGCCTGGAATCGATCTGCACTTCTTTCTAAACGATTACTTGCAATACTTCCACGCTTTTCTTCGCTACTACTAATACTATTCTCTTCAGGAGAATATGTTAGGCACCGTCGTGACGAACGATGTTCTATAACCGGCGTCGCTAAATCATTTGGAAGCATATCTTCATACAGTTTACTAGTTTTATGTGCCCTGTCTTCACTGAGATTATTGCTTGTTCTTTTTAAGTTTGGAGCAGGAGTTATTGGACTTGGTATACCAGTTTCAGTCAAACCAAATAATTCTTTTGATCTCTTGTTTAGTGCTTCACAAGGTTTTAGACTACTATGAGACACAGTTGACGAAATGGAATGATTTGGATCACAGCTACTGGGTTCACTGTGAACAGAACGTATGGATTTCTCCTGTAAATCCGGGCTTGGTAAGCCTATCTCATGAGAGAGAGGAGATGATTTTGCCTCTCGTTGATATTCACTATCATTACTGACTGTAGACTTCTTTCTTCGTATACATTTTTGTCTTCTTAATCTATTGTTACCAAATTCTTTAAGAGCGGTGTGTAAGTCTGGCGTCGATTCAGAGGACATGTTTTTTATATTTGGGCTGTCCATAGAATCGTTCATTGAACGTGAGCGCGCTAAGGATCTATTAAAACATTCAATATATCTTTCTTTAGCTTTCACATCAATGTCCGGTGTTTTGACTTCCCTTTCATTGTAACCGTCACCATCATCTAAGATATATCCTCCAATTGGGACATTTTTCAATAGCTTTGCCGTATCTCTTTGAAGTGGTAAGATTTTCTTAGTGGGTGTTGTTTTCGGTGAGTTTTCTCTGGAAATATTAACGCATTTTGCTTCTTTAATTATATTATTTTTCACCTCTCTAGGAGGATTTACAAATACATCGTTTTGATAAACATGGTCTTTTACTAATTTTTCTTCATCCGCTTCCTTTTGCAGTATTCTTCTTTTAGATTTAACTATTTTTGTACTTTTAATTATATCTTCTATCATTCTTTCAAGAGTTATATCACCCATTTGTGTAGTAGAAACCGTTGATTCTGCAACGGAATCTTTACCTAATATATATTTATTTTCCAGTTCAGTTGAACTTTCTTCGTCTTTGATTGGTATAGTAAAGGGATTTTCAATTTTTGGGAAATATTCTGTTATTTCTTCATGGGGATAGACATTAACTCTTTGAGATTTTGTATGCGTACTCATAGCACTAAACCTTAAAGCAGCAAGTTTAGCAGATAATGGTGTAATAGATACTGGTGAACAACCGTCCCTTAACAGTGCATGTGTATCTTTTTTGTCAATTGAAGGTGATTTAAATGAACTTTCAAAATCATTGGATTTTTTTCTCGTTCTCTTAAGCGATCGTATATTAATTAAATCGTTATCATTTTTATTAAAATATAAAGGGTTATCAGTAAATATTCTATGCCCAAATATAGGAAGGGTTGATTTTTCTAAACGAGTTTTATCTAATGGTTTTTCGACGCAGTTAATAACTAAGTTTTTATCGTATTCAATTTCTGCAATATCTTGGTTTACACTTTTCGTAGTGCATACTGATTTTAATCTATCTATTTGTTTTGCGAGTGCTATCGAACTTTTACTGCTTTCTGTAGTAGCACTTAACCTGTCTGAAAGATCATTTAATGATGGTTCAGAGACACTGTGACTTAAAGTTGATCCACTGAGATATCCGCGATCTGTAAGCTTAATTTTTCTCTCAGATTTATAAGCGATGCTGTTTCTAGAAAATACTTCATTATTGTTGAAAGCGGCCATTTCAAGTTTACGTTTCTTTGCTTCACGTACTCTTCTACTATACGTTGGTGGTGTTGGTGGTAAATCCGTTGATACCTCTTTTTCATCGTAAAAGATCTTTCTCTTTTCAAAATGAGGTGTAACAGATGTAGGAGTGATATTACTTACGTCTTTTAATGCATTATTTTCGGGTTTTTTAAACCCTTCTCGATAGTAATTAGGGGTGTGCCCTACGTAATTTATATTTTCTTTATCGATATGTTTACTATTTTTCCTAGCAGCGGCACCTAGTGATCTTCTTTGATATCTACTTGGTTTTTTTGTCTTCTTAACTGATTGAGCATCTAAGGATCTACGCAGCCGGTCATCATATGGTCTGTTATTAATTACAAGTTCTTCTTGTTCATTCTCTGAATTAACATGTATCTCTTGGCCTTTTTTGCCATACACTGCCCACTTCAACATTTTGAATCTGTAACAAATTAAAACAAGCCTCAATAATGTTAAAATATATTACAATGCGTATAATCCGAAATATATATATAAGAATGAGGTCTATTGCCGACGAAACAATAGTTGTTCACTACCCAAAACAAGGCTGTGAGAACTTGCTAAATGAAGAAATATTGAATGAATTGGATATTTAAACAGTATATGTTACTGTTGTATATATAGTACTATATTTATTATGTATATTTATTTATTCATCAAGAAGAAAAAAAGATATATTTAAAACTTATATCACAAAACTGATTGATAAAGCCATTACGTACTTATCGTTGATATAATGAAACTTTGAAGAGCGATTCTGCGAATAAACGAATTTCCATTAACATTATTGGAATTTTAAAACAGCCAATTGCTTTAATAAATAAGCACATCAAGCTTCACGTGAAATAAAACAGTTTCGTGGTTTAGTTATATACATTGAACTATTTATTATTCGCATATACAATTAAGTTATACTGTATAAAAATGGGGGAATAAAAGAAACCTCGTTACCTATAATCCTAGAATAAATCCAACGAAGACAAAATAGATCAATTGTGTTGACAAGATTGCGATTTGTATCACAGTTACATGGAATGTTGACATGAAACAATTTCACGGGCATCAAACAAAGTCGTGATTCTTGTAATTGACTATCTAAGATTAGCTATGGTTATTTTCTTATTCGTGATCTATATTTGAAATACGAAACCGTTAGACTAACACGCTTACAAGACGCACTAGTCAACGATTTAGTTCTGAAAAGCATGGTTACAATTGCTTTTATTACCTATATTTTATTCGACAAAAAGCAATGCTTTATTAATACACGAAATTGCCTTTTATCTATTTTTTAAACAAACAATAATTCCTACACTTAAAAATACTATAAGTCACAAACTAATAGTATGATAGTTGTCAAATTCATACACGTTTTATTTTTAATGTTAGGGCTAAGTAAAAGCGCCTGCGAACATTTCAGACTACGTAATGTTTAATTCTGTAAATGCGTTTCATTCAAATATTAACTTCCGTAAATTACTTAATAATTTACATAAAACCCTCTAAACTAAATATTCATAAAGGTAATAAGAAAAGCAGTGTATAATTACGCACCGTATTTAGGAAATTATAAGGTCAATCTTCCGTCAATAAACATCCTAATCACAGTCTAAAGCTATTAAAGCGTCATTATGCAAAGTCATTCCTTAAAGTTCAGTACAAACGAACCTTTGTTGGAATTTAAAAACGGCCGATTTCATCTCGGTTACGCTAAGGCAATAATTCATACTTCCCGCTGAACCAAATTGACTGTGTAATTAGAAACTTGGCGCGCTTTTTACAAACCATAGTCTGACAGACACATGCTGCGTTCCGAAACCAGTGTGTACACAAAACGACCCTGAAGAATTCGCGAACTAAATACAACACCGCAAAAACAGGGCGTACGACTGGATCCATTATCCGTCTCCCTTCTTTCAAATTACAATTGAATTTAAAGATTTCTCGCAGTATTTTTTAATATCGCATGCACGTCTCGACTCCCAAAACCTGGGGTCCGAGAACAAAGCGTCTTGAACATAGGTTTCGGAATTCGATAGTACAATTCCTGAACGCGTAACGGAATAAGGTCTAGATTAAGAATTTCAAATTTAGAATTGTAAAGATCGTGCGTCAACGACATTTCGTTGAAAGGAGAACACGTTTAGCCATATTGGTGAATGTTGATTCATTAAATTCAGGATAAACTAGTAAATGTGTGCTTAATAGCTTTGCAATAAGAGTGACACAGAGTACAAAACAAAAAGGAGTGATGTCAGGATGAAAGGAGAACCGGCTTGTGCCAAAACGGATATTTTATTGTAAGAAATTTTAATGAAAGTTATCTCTTATGCTATCTAAAAGTGCTTCGACTAACAAACGCAATAAAATTCTATTAAACCTACCAAGGTGTGAGCAACATTTTGCGACTCATGAGAAAATTCAGATTTGTATTCATTCGTTTTGTATGAGTTACTATAGCTGTTCCTAAGTACTCGAGCGGCGGAGTGGTTGGTTTTGCTGGTGATTATGCGTAACTAGGTAAAATATGTCGGTTGCTGTCAGGTGGCGTTTCATGAATAATTCAGATTCCACCCCCTCACCGCGTTTGGGGACAGACCTGTAAATATGCATTTTTATGCGTCATTAATTAAGGAGCAGACAACTACTGTTCTGAAATATGTTTGTCGGAAAATTTATTATAGACGATCAATTTTTGTTTAGACTAAATTTCAATTGGAGCAAATAAACGAGCTATTGAATTTTGAAGTGATTGCAACTTAAAGCAGAGTTTGGCCCATATTGATTTTCGAATTTGTTTTATTATATATGTGTCTTTTTTTCAATTACTTTCTTATAATAAGCCTTAGTTTTAGTTTACCATTCATATATTTTCTAAAATATATACCTTATAATTATTTATTAACACGTATCTGTTGCATATAGATCAATTAGTACAATTGAGCGTAGGTTTAAATAACAGCAGAGCATACCCGGTGTTGCCTTGATCGGGGTTTCAATCGATCTCTTCCAGGTAACCACTGTCAGGCAAAAAAAATAGTCTAAAATAGCATTAGTAGGCAAGAAGTGCGATATTATACATGTATTAGATGTTTGTTGCTGAAAAAGAGACTGAAAATGAACAAAAAAAACAAACTAATAAAGGAATACTTTGAATCAATAAAAACTTATTACAGTACTAACAAGTATCTGTGTCCGTCATGGATCAGTAGTTTTTAGGTAAGTTAGCGTTTATGTAACTGGGAGTTATGTAACATTGCCTAGGGATTGTTTAATGGGGGTTAATAGTATCTAAGCTTAATTGTCAACAAAAAACATTCCAATTAAAATAGCTATATAGAAATTGACATTTCTTATAGATGTTTAGGTCCACATACTTCCGAAAATACAAAAGCGCTCTTTGACTGCAATTGTTATTCAGGTTTTATACATATTGAGTCCATCATTGACTGAATGAGACGGCTACGTTGATGTCTGGAGTTGCTTTCAAACCTCCTAGGGTGATTAAAGGGAGTCTAACTGTTTTTTTTTTATTTTTTTATGATACAACATACACACATCCCTTAACTTCCACCCCTCTACGATCAACCCCTATTTTTTATTATTGTAGATAGTTATTTTTATTAAACTAAACAAATGTTTCCTAGAAATAAGATACATGGCAAAAAAAATATATAAAGATGTACTAGCTACGATTCAAATTCAAAATCATTTATTAATTTAGGTAACATACACGTACACTTATGAACGTCAATACAGAAATACATATTAAGTACTTCTAATTACATTTACTGCAGTTCTCAAACTGATGATGGTTGATGGAAGAGAAGAACTGGCAATAAACTTTACGCCACTCTCTTTTAATCGCCAAATTTTTTGTTTTACATAATCTTTCTAAGGAGCTGCAACCATTACACCATGTTCCACATGACATCTTAAGTAATTAATAGTTAATTAAAAATTAAAAACAAAGATTTGTAATCTATCAGCAGTAGGCATGGTGAAATAGGAGCACGCACTTACTTAATTTTACTAACCCCAAGTAAATTTAAGTAAAACGGAAATCTTTATTTAAATTAGGCACTTTGTATAAGACCGCAGCTGTGCGCGGGAGCAGACGCGTGCGCAGAGATTTCTTTGTAACAAGCTAATGTTTCAAGGGTCCTTCAGTAAGTTTCCTTAAGGGTCCTAAATATTAAGGTATGCATAAGATACTTAACTTATGCTTAAATTAAAATCGTTTTGGCTTACATTAGTCGACGTAACTTTCTTTCAAGACAAAAAAAGGAAGGAAAATGTTAATTGAGTTTCTGCTAAAAACATAGTTTTTTAAAAAATGGGTTTGAATTTATTAAACATATTTCATATTTACAATCAGATATACATAGTATTTACAATTTTCTTAACCTACAAAGTAAATAATAAAAATAAAAAAGAAAAACGAAACAAATTTAAAAAGTTTGGTCCAATAACTATTTATCTAAATGGTACATGTTAGTTACTTTGTTTTACACTTTTCTCTTTTCATATTTCGTAAAACCATTCCGTTCAAAGCATATTGAGCGGGATTCCTAATAGTATTTAATAAAGTATTATTACTTGAGAAATGTACGATTAGGTGTTTTTACCATACCCCTTGTTCTTACTTCCCATGAGACCCACCTGCTAAACACAGGTGGTCACTCTTTACTTTACGTAATACTAATATATTCCTTGGTAAACATAACATAACACTGATAACATAAAATATTATTTCGACTATAAATTGTTTAATGTTTTACTTAAACGTATATTTACAATAGGGACCAGTGATGTCAGAGCTGGTGTTTTCCACGCTTTTATAATCGCAATACAAGTCACATTTACAGGAAGGAAATGCTTCATTTAAAAGTACACTGCATAATAAAGTATCTCTATGGTTAAGATTCTATTGATACTCTATTAGAATAATAAACAAATAACGTTAAGACATATTATTTGGATTCTTATGATCACCATAACTGGGCATTTATTTAATTTTACATACAGCATATGCACAGAAACCTCTTCGTTATAAGACGAGAAATGTGTCGCTATAACTCTTGGCCATCATTTTTATTTATAAGCTAAAAGTTGAGGCTTTTGCCATTCGTGGATGTTCAGACTTATACCAATACAACTGTGTGGATAGCAGTCCACGTATCCTGACATACTAGACAAATAAGGGATGAAACATTTCTATCACTCACAATTTATGACACTAACTACTAAGTTGTAATGTAGCGTAACAAAAAGACTGCGACACAAAAGCACATTTAAAAGGTATAGTCAAAATAATTTGTTCATAATTTGATAACGATCTGTTCATTAAATTTTCTGCTAAAATTAACATAAAAATTTCATAATCTATGATGGCGCTAGAGCGACCATATGGC